AGAGTTGGCTCTTCTATAGTTTGTATTACATTGGTATGTGAATTCGGAACTAAACCCGCAGATTCACATGCCTCATTACTGTCTATAGGTAGTTTCTTCTCAGCGCACCTCTTCTTTCTCCTTGTAACTTGCCTATATCCATATACTTATCTGTTTCCCTGATGGGGTCCCCCCTTTTGGTCTCATTTAAGTCTGGAGCTGGGCTCATAATAGAGCTCTCAATTTCCTCGAAAGAAGAGTTCTGATCATCTGCTGCCTCTTTATCAGAAGGCGATATTCTAGCTATGTTAAGCAGCTCGATCGCCTCTAGAATCAGCAAAGATTTAGTAAAACAACATTCTTTACACAACCAACGTGATAATGGCTTGCAGCACCGTTTATATGCAGCCGGTGTGAGTCTGGTGCACACATTGTGATACTACTTATTGCAGATATCACATTGCATCCCCTCATCGACCGGAAAATAGCGTGCTAGTCTACCACAACGATGTCTCAATTGCACCATAGATTTGTTTTATGTTTCTATATAAAATAAACAAACTAATCCGACTTCAGTAGGAGCAGGTTGGAAGAAAGCTAGGGGCGGCCAGACCAAAACATGGCATAAATTCATGAAATCGCTGACAGGTGGACTAAGCCATGCTGGTAGGTGTAGACTACCTGGTTGGTATCTGCGAGATGATAACAACCGATGGTTAGAGACTTTGAATGACATGGCTCAAAATCGTTTTCAATGGCGAAGGTGCGTACACTCTTTGTGTTCTACCAAATTCTAATCTTCTGAATTATTTGTGTCCTCTTTCTCATTCCAAATTTATTTCACCGTATTATACTCCTTCAAACCTTTATCTTTCACATAATACTTATACTCTTACTACTTCTACGAATATGGGATTTGAATCGACAACTTCATCTCTGTGCTAATATGGTATGGCAACTCGAACTGATGTACGTACGTACGAAGTTCTACGTTGTAACTTACTGACTGGTGGGGGCGTGAGTGATGTGATTAATGCACGTATACTGTGTACTGTGCAATAATGCCCAAGGCATGCAATCCGCACTTAATCAGTTAGCAATCAGTGTCCGCAGGTACGGCATGTGCTTTGCACCCTCCAAGTGCAAAGTACTCCTACAAGACTGGCAGGATTCTCATCCTGTACTCACCCTAGATGGTGAGCAGATTGAAGTAGTTGAGAAGTTCGTGTATCTAGGTAGCTATATAAGTTCTGATGGCGGCGTGAGTGATGAGATCGATGCACGTATAATGAAAGCCAGAGCGGCTTATGCCAATCTGGGCCATCTTTGGCGCCTTTGTGATGTTAGTCTGGCTGTAAAAGGTCGGATCTACAACGCGTCGGTGAGAGCAGTTTTGCTCTATGCTTGTGAAACCTGGCCTCTCCGAGTTGAGGATGTTAGACGTCTCTCTGTGTTCGATCATCGTTGTCTCCGAAGGATTGCTGACATACAGTGGCAACACCATGTTAGTAATGCAGAGATTCGGCATTGTGTGCTCGGGTGCAGAGACGATAATTCAATTGGTGTGACCATCTTGAAACACCGACTTCGGTGGCTTGGACATGTTTTACGAATGTCGTCCCAGAGGCTTCCACGTCGTGCATTATTTGACGACTCTGGGACTGGTTGGAAAAGGTGGGGAGGTGGTCAGTGTATGACATGGTGTCGTGGCATGAAAGAAAGCTGCAAAGGGCTAGCTTCTGTTGGTCCTTCACGACTCCCTGGCTGGGGTCTGAGAGATGGTGCAACACAGTGGCTAGAGACGTTATCAGATATGGCTCAGAATAGAAGTCGGTGGCGATCCTGCTGCAACCTTCTACTTTCTTCATAAAGAGCGGCTATAACTTTCCTAACTGAGAGAGCTCTTCTGGTTGTACATTTAAGTTCCCCCATCATTACTCTTCTTTTCTTTTTTCCTTCCTTTACATATACGCATCTTCTTCCTTCTCCTCCCATTCTCATTATTTTGTGTGGCGCATATGTATCCGGTTCCCTTTGTACCAATATACATGTGATTAAATAAATAAATAAACTCTTGCTGATCACTTTGACTGAAAAAATTCAATTAAAGCCAAAACAGTAGTGTTGATGCGTAATTTAACGATCAATACTATAAAATTTCCTCAGAGGAAAAATATCACTGTCTTTTTTGAATAGCGCGCGGTTATGATCTGTGAGGGGGAAACTACATAGTTTAGCAAGTATATTGGTTGGGAATCGTTCGTATGCTGGAATTCCAATTAACATTAAGTAGAGACTTCAACCAAGGTACATGGGAGCACCCCAAATTCATTTGTCTGCCTGGCTTGGTGTATTTCGAATGCCTAAACAAATTCTTTTTGTCTGTCATCTTGGGCTGACTTCCAAAACTCCACTAATATACCTGCGTGATTCCTTTGTAAATATAGGAAGTATACTTTGCTTTTTGTGACTGCAATATTTGGAATCCAAAACTCATGATAAACAAGCTACTGTTACTTCAAACTTTTGTTGGTCACTTTACTGAGGAGAAATGCGGAAACTCTAAATAACACTTATGGCATCTTTTACTTCGTGACCACAAGTTTATCAGTCAGTCGTATGAGATGTTTTATTTGACAGAAATTGACAGGGAATCGTAATTAAGTGTGGTATTCATATTTTCATCTATAATTTGATGGTGGTGTTTTTTATGTCTGCTTTACTTGCTTAAGAATGTCTCATATTCCTCGATTCATTCTCCAGCAGTAAGTTATTGGTTGTGGTGAAGTCCAAATGTTCTTAACTAAGTGTGAATAATTCCCTAACTTTCAGGTACGAAAACATTACATACCACTGGCCCTGTACGAAATAGGTAAGTCTTTTTAAAGTACTTTTATACATGTCCCTTATACAATCATTTATTGTTCGTCTTCTGAAAAAAATTTATGTGTGGAAGCTACGTGTCTTTGAGCTCACTTTTATTTCTCCACCATAACTCAGTTACGCTTAGTGACTCCATTTTTATTTTCTCGCTTGCTCACCATGTGACTTTTGATTCTTGAATCCTGAGAGCATATTACAATAATCCTTCATTTTAACCTAGTTAGAACCATCTAGTTTACCTAGACTTATCGTCAGAGTCCGTATTACTAACTGCAGATTGATAATACATTCGTCTCTGTCTGGTACTACATTTTTCAAGCTATTACCTTTCAACAATTAACGAGACTCAAAGTAGTTTGACCTTGATTGAACCAAATGATCGTTTTGTCCTAAAGTGAATGGAACTTTGAAAATATGGTTGGTAAAAGTCTTAAGCTATACAACGAGTGCCTCAAATGACTACTATCTGTACTGATTTTTTCTTCTACTGAACGTGGTGTCAAACACTTGTCTCTTGAGCGCTGCTTTCGTGCTCCAGGTCATCGAGACCGTCACTAATCTAACTTCGCTTTCGCGTATTTCAAGGAGGGATCTACTGTGTAGCGTACCGTAAAGTAACATTCGCCTTCACACTTTAACAGCACTTAAGATTACTTCATTCACAGTCAAACCCCTGGTTCTTACTTAGTGTTTCCATGCCTTCTTTTTTTGACAGAACATGCACAGATATTCCTTGTTGTATAGTGTTCTCAATATTCGTCATTGGTTTCCTTATTGTTACTTTGTGGAGTAAGTTTCTACTTGCTTTTTGTCAGTATTATTTTGTTATATTTGTTGCGACTAATTAGTACGTTTAAATGAACCGGTCTTTGTAGTGAAATTTAGTTTTGATATTAAAATCTGATGGGAATTTCATCTTATTGATAGAAGGGACATTTTTTGTCGGTGACTGGGTCATAAGCTTTTAGCGCAAATTCTTTGCTGTCTTGAACTCGTTTATTTGGATAACAGGCTCACAATTATTTCTTTTAATTCTTGGAACTTTTCCATATATATATATATATAGGGTCTAATTGGTGAAATAGTTCAGTTGCTTTTACTGTTAACGTTTCTCGCAGGAATCTGTTTCAAACTTCTGGTGAATAATCGAACTCAGAGTCACCATAAATAAATAAGTTCTAAAATAATCCTATATTGAATGCTCATTCAACCATGGTAAAATGTCACCTCGTGTGACGTATATTCGGAATGACCTGTATGAAGTTGTATGTATATGTTGTTTATATTGTTGTTTAATCCTACCTATCTGTGTTTACCATAGGACTAAAAGTACATTTGAGTAAATTAAACTTGCCAGTGTATGGTGGTCGAGAAATAGATTGTTCATTGTCATCTTAATTAAATGCAACTACAGATAAACCCATTCTTGATGATCAACTAAACAATTAAAATTACTTTGTTTTCGTTTTCCATTTTGCTGATGGTACTATTCAAAGCAGGAGTTAAAGGCCATAACATTTCTGTTTGTATAACCAACAGTGATCATGATGCAGATAACTTCATTTGGTGTCCTGTTTCCATTGAATATAGTGCTATTGTCGATTAATCCTCAAGCTTCTTGAGCTTCCAAAATTTGAGAACATGCCTCAAACATTTTTTATGTTTCCTCGTTTCCACATTCAGCTGTTTGGATTTTCCATTTTTATTTTTCCTTGATAGTTTTTGTGAGGAATCTCAAACCACATTACCAGGGGAAACCTTGAGCTATTTTGATTTCAGTTGATAAGTGCAATCTTATATGTCTTTTATATAAGCGTCCCCCAATTTCTGTGAAACAGTTCAAATCTTAATGAATGACCATACAAGCTATTTTCTAGTCTACTGACTACATATTCGTGCATATGAGGTTCTTTTTTGTTGTTGAAACTGGCTACAAATGTTTCATTGGGTTCCTTTTTATGAGAAAACCTTCAACATCCCTAGTTGATCTACATTACAGCGTGTTTCATAAATGTCTAAAATGATGTTATAGCTTATCCTATGTTTAATTACCCAGTAAAGATGTTCGTTGACCTTTCACGCCAGGTTTTGCCATGGGAGACTTTAAACGTGTCATACATCCGACTAATTCGCAAGGACAAGTTTGCGGTCGTGATGTTTCGTAAGTTTTCAAACTTTTAACGTTTTTGTTTATTAATATGCAACTGCCACTTTTTTTGGGGGGGGGGTAGAAATAACGCGCCTTATACGTTACAAATCAAAATGTTTATCAGTTGCTCGTTTTCCAGATTTCTTGAGTGCTATTTTGAATAAGCGTAATAAAATGGCAATAACTGGTTATTTTATAGAGATAAGTTGGAAAACTACATTTCTCATATAAGTTAGTATCATGCTCAACTTATATTGGTTCGCACACTGAACTATACATATGGTGGACGATTAATAAAATGTGGGAACAATATTTAGTTATAGTTATGTGAATTGGTGATCTAGAGATCAATTGACCACTCATTTTAGCAATCTTTTAGAATGTAAGTAGCAGACATAGTAGCGTGAAGCGAATTCATCAGATTTCATGTGCTCTCAGTCTGTTGCATATACAATAATCTAATAAAAAAGATGTAGTTTTACCGATCTATTTTCTGAGGGAGTTCAGTACTATACCCTTAAAATCGTAAGTACTTTCCACAGCTATCACTTCGTCAGTTGATTTGATTCTATCTACATGAATCCAATTCATGTATATAAATAATAAGTGCATTTCCAGAAGGTTTAAAGCATATAAATTGGAATAGATTCCATTCATCTCACAACAGATAACGTTCTTGGTTTGATTTCAACAGAATTTAGGAAAGATCAATAGATTCTTACAGCTTCCCAATTAGTAGATTATACTAAAGTAATAATGAACTAAAGAACGTAAGTGTAGATTAACGAAACAACGAAATATTAATTGCATTAGTTAGTTATACATAATGTAGAACATAGGACTTATGTAAATCGGTTCAGGTTGTCATACCTCAGCCCAGTGAAATAAAAATGTCAGGGCAAATCTCATTATTAGAGTTAGTAACAGTATTGATGGGGATAGAAAAGATAGGGATAGAAGGTAATACAAATAAATTATTGAAATAAGAAAAATAGTAATCCTGATAACGGGCAGATAACAAAATGCGAAACATTCAGTAGTGATCGACAAAATTGGATGCTTGTAGATGTAGATGTCAAAACAAACTCTGCCACTAGCGGAATTGTTGCAAAGAAAGATACCAAGAATGTATTTTCAGGTTAAGTGATTACAGTGATAATTTGAAAACTAAGGAGCAATTTAGTTGTCCTGTAATTATTCTCCAACTTCCCACTGGTCATTCTTTTTTATCTACTTTTGTTATAAGTATGCTTTCAGTGAAGTAATATTTGTCTGAAGACCCTCTGATGGTGTGAGGATGATACTAACTAATTCAATCTTAGTGCATGAAATAACAATACAAGATTGGTTGCAATATTGACCATATAAATGTTACTTCGAAACTGGTTTTCTTCAGTGCCTAGTGTATCTTTAAGGGGAAGGTTGACTATAATTTGTATGTTTCTAAACACACAGTCACTTTTTTTGTGTCTTTTGTGGTTAGAATGTTGCTCTCTTCCCCGATTAATCCAAAACATCTTATTGCAGTCATATAATTGGTTATTTATACATTCCAAGGGTTAATTAACTTACAGTGGAGAGGGCATGTTTTAATTATTACCTGGATAATATGAAAAGTAGCTATAAAAAGCACCAAGCGTTTCAAGGATGTCTTTCTCAACTGATTTTTTAAGTTGAACATCATGCATCGTAGCGTAATTGAATCAATTCGAAGCTGAACTCATTTTGTGTAAACTGATCCAGTTTTTTTGTTACTTCGTAGATATTTTACATAAAATACCATTTCAAAGGCAAAATGTAATTTATGCGAAAAGTATATGCTTAATCGTTTTAGTGCCTTATTTTCTGGTGTGTATCATTCTTATTAGTCTATCCTTAAGTGTTTTGTTCATCTAACCTTAAATGTATTGGAATATGTTTATGAATTTAGTGCGGTACATTTGCATACATTCCTTTACTTGTATATGTGTGGATTATTTGTGATGGTCTGTTTATGTTTTATGTTTATTAACTTTTATAAACAGAAATTTCAAATGTTAAGTGTGTAAATATTGTATTTGTCTACATATGACAGTTAGTTTGAGTTTACCTCGTTTATTATTAGTCGAAGTCCTGAATCCATAACGCATAGCGTACCCACTGTTAAGTTGCTTTGAGAAAACAATCTAGATTTGCTGAATTTTTCAAGTGGTAAACTTGTTAATGAGTGAGAATCAAAGGTAATTCCTGAGTAAATCAATGCTGATCAACTAAATTAGTTCATGGGATTTTTAAAAATTCTCTTTATTGTTAGCACCGCTGTACCCTCCCCCCTAAGTGAAACGTTAAGACGAAGATATCGAGTTAAGATGATTTTTGTTCAGTCAACTGACAATGCATTTTCATTGTACCCATTAATTGAGAGTGAATTTTGTTCTTCGACTTTAAGTGTATCTTCAGTTACAATTAGTCGTTAGGACCAACATTAATCCAACTTCCTTTTCAGGCCATTCATTTGACCTCACCATATCATAATAAAGAACCAACTCGATACACACTTTGTGTATCTGGAAGCCCTGATACTGCTTCCCGTGGCCTCGCTGGTGTAGGTATAGCATTGAGTCCTAAAGCAGAACTAGCTTATTTGGACTGGATTCCAGTAGACAGTCGTTTGTGTGCTGTCCAACTAAACGGAACAGTAAGGACTCTGAAAGATAGGGACACTTGTCGATGCCTCTTCGTCGTCTCTGACTACTCTCCCACTGACTGTAGTTCAGATGATGTAAAAGATGAGTTTTACAGAAAGCTTTTCGACCTCTTCCTAAAAGTTAGGCGCTCTGATGTAGTAATAGTGGTTGGCGACTTCAATGCTTAAGTAGGTAAGCTAAATGAAAGGGAAAGACACCTGGGTGGATCTGATAGTGTCATGACTCAAAAAACAGATAATGACGACCGTCCGTTGCAGCAATGCTCAGATAACTGCCTGTTTCTTGCAAATACTAACTTTAAGCACAAGGAAAAACATCTTTTGACATGGCGACCCCCGAGTTCGTCCCAACGTTGGAACCAATTAGAACACATCGCTATCAGCCACCGATGGAGGGGCTCGATGGAAGACTGATGCTCATTCCGGAGCACATGTTTAGACTCAAATCATGCTCTAGTGCAAGCACGTATCTGTCTGCGTCCTACTGGACGTAGGAAAGACGCTGAAAGGAAACCTCTCAGGGTTCTACTTAATGACAGCCAAGCTAAGAATGTATTTCAGGAACAACTAGAAAAACAGTTAGCCAGCCATGTAAGTTGGGCTCACTCCGAATCAACGTGAAATGACATTCGTAAAGCTGTGGCAACAGCAGTGATATCCGCTAATAAGGTAAGCCATAAGGTCAGAGAGAAACAATGGATCTCAGTAGCATCTACCGCACTGATAGATGCTCGAAAACTCATCCCATATGGCTCTAAACATAACGAAGAGCGGAGTCAGCTTAAGTGCAGGCTAACAAGAAGCCCTACGTAATAGTCGTGAACAGTGGTGGGTAGCAAAAGCAAGAGAGATGGAAAAGGCAGCGGCGATAGGTGACAGCAGACAAGTATTCAGACTTGTTAAAGGAACCGGTATTAGAAACCCAATTATTAGCGAAACTATCTCAGAAGAAGATGGACATATTATTCACTCTCAATCCAGGAGATTGGATCGATGGGCAGAACACTTTAGGGATCAGTTCAACTGGCCTTCAGCCACACTTCAGTTACCCACGATCCCCAGTCTTCCTGAATGGCAAATTGAGGTAAGTCCTCCAACTCTCTACGAGGTTGAAAAAGCTATAGGAAACTTGAAGCGAGGGAGAGCAGCAGACCCTGATATGTTTACCCCTGAGATTTTTTAGGATGGTGGTCCAGTACTAGCAACGAGATTGACTGAGGTCTTAGATAGAATCTGAGAACTGGACGTAATTCCATCTGACTGGTCCCAATCACTGATTGTGCCAGTCTATAAGAAAGGACAAAAGTCCTCCTGTGACAATCACAGAGGGATCAGTTTGACTAATATAGTGTCTAAAATATTAGCTTCAATAATACCTTGAAGCCTAACCAAAGCTCGTGAAGAGCAGACTAGAGAAAACCAAGCTGGTTTCCAACCTGGACGTGGTTGCATAGACCAGATATTCACACTACGTCAGGTCCTAGAACATAGACACACATTCAGACGTCCCACAATAGTAGTATTTCTTGACCTTAAGGCGGCATTTGACTCCGTTGATCGTGAGGTTCTGCGGCATTGTTTGTCAGTGAAAGGAGTACCAAAGAAGTACATTAACCTCATAAAGGCTCTCTACTCGAACACAACTGGTCGAGTTAGAGCCTATGGCGAACTGCCATCAGGATTGATTACTTAAAGTGGTGTTCGTCAGGGCTGTCCACTCTCGCCATTCTTGTTTAACTTTGTCGTTGACATGCTTTTAGAGATATCACTTTCATCATCTCAATCTCCTGGAGTTGAACTTCTACCGGGAGATTCACTTGTTGACTTAGAATACGCCGACGACATGGTTTTACTCGGTGAAGACGCTGACAACATGCAGAGTCTTCTGACTACTATAAGCAACTATGCAGGCATGTTCGGGATGCGATTCTCTCCCTCGAAATGCGAAATGCTACTTCAGGATTGGGTTGCATCGACATCTGAACTAATGATAGGGAGTGAAGTAGTTGAGCGTGCTGACTGCTTCACTTATCCTGGGAGTCTCATCAGCCCTTGTGGTCTGGTGTGTGACGAAATCTCAGCACGGATACAGAAGGCTCGTCTAGCTTTCGTCAACTTGCTTCATTTATGGCGTAGGCGAGATATCCGTTTAGCAACCAAAGGACGGGTTTACTGTGCAGCAGTTCGCTCCGTCCTACTTTATGGCAGTGAAACATGGCCAATAAGAGTAGAGGATATTCGTAGGCTACTAGTATTCGACCATAGGTGTCTTCAAATTATTGCTCGTATATCCTGGGACCACCGAGTAAGTAATGCAGTTGTTAGGAAACAGGTACTAGGTAGGGATGGCAAATCGATTGATGAAGTAGTGAAACTTCATCAGTTGAGATGGCTGGGACATGTGTTACGTATGCCCGACCACCGACTGCCCCGACGTGCAATGTTTCATGGTGTAGGAGTAGGTTGGAAGAAAGCTAGGGGTGGCCAGACCAAAACGTGGCACAAATCAATGAAGTCACTGACAAGTGGACTGAGCCATGTTGGTAAGTGTAGACTACCTGGTTGGGATTCGCGAGATGACAGCAACCGATGGTTAGAGACTTTGAATGACATGGCTCAAAATCGTTTTCAATGGCGAAGGTGCGTACACTCTTTGTGTTCTACCAAATTCTAATCTTCTGAATTCTTCATGTTTCTTTCTTTTTTCTCTTTCCAAATTTATTTTAAATCCTGACCTTTCCGATTGCTGCTTATACACTTACTACCTATACCACTATTGGATTTGAATCGACAACTGCATCTCTGTGCTGATGTGGTATGAAAACTCGAACTGATGTACGTACTTACGTACGAAGTTCTACGTTGTTACTGACTGACTGATAACTGAATTAGCTTGAATATAATTTAGTTCTTCTTGGGTTTCTAGTAAGAAAACTTATGTATAAACGGGACTTCACACTCTAGGTAGCAGGTTGGCAAAAAAAACAGATGTCTCGTTCATCGTATTTAATTTGGAATTACTCATAATTTGCTTAGTTCACCAATGTATCACTAATAACTCTTGCTAACAATTTTTTATTTAACGCACAACAACAAAAACTTTACATATTGTGCGAATTTAATCTGAATTTCTGAATGTCTTATGATTTGATGTTTATTGGTAGATTAACCTGTCAAACATCCAAATCATTTTTCACTAGTTTTTAAGACAGTGTTCAGCTACTTTCAGATTTTATATTCTGAATTCAATTTACAAACACATTTTTCATAAATAAGATCAGCTACTGGTAGATTTACCAACTGTACTTTGTTCTTACAGCTAATATTTTGTATGATTGAGAATGACAGCCTGTTTATGACATCTGACTTCTATCACTTGAGAAATTAATAATGGTAGTGAAGATAATCCGCGTATACTTAGTTAATTTTGAATTATAAATATCCACTTTTTAAACTCAATTTGAAATGACAAATCCATAAGAAGCTCTTACTATATAGTAACGATCGTATTCATTGAGCACATTACCATTAATCAGTAATAATTTTGCACTTGTCTTGATGTTGTTAAAAAATATTAGTTTATCGTTCTGAACTTAGTATTTAATATGTACAGCGAGAATGAAGCTCAGTACTCTGAACCCTGTTCAGCATACATCAATCTGGGAATCCGAATTTTGTCAGTGCAACTCATGATTTGATATAGATATCTGTGTATGGCGGTTCTTTTATTTCTTGAAGTAACATGGCCATCATCACTTTCGAGAGTAAACAAAATACAACTTTTATCATTGAAACCCAAAGAAATCTAATCAATTGCTTTATTTTTCGTTGTACTTACTCATTGTTGACACGTAAATTCACCATTAATACATCTGTACTTTTCGTTCCTATTTTGTTTAGTGGTAAACCATATCTGTTCTTCTTTGATTTGGAAAGTTGTCTCAGACTGGGGCCAGCTTTAGTTGTTACAGGGTGCCCGACACCTCAGGTATAGAAATTTTACGTTTTTAAGTATTTTGATACATATATATTATTTATGTAACATCTGTCTCATAAACTCAGAAACGAAGCTGTATCAAAACAACTGCTTATTTATCCAGAAATTGTGAAATCCCACACACTATAGCCCAAGTTAAAGTCTAAACCTTCAGACCGTTTAGGTGAAAATGTTTTGTACAAAGTTAGTTTTCGTAACAGATTCACATAATTTGCAGAACCATTAAAAGTAGGAAGCACTATATCAATGTCTGGTTCTAGTTTCGGCAGTTCTTACCCGTAACCTCGTACGGGATTAAACTCAGGGTTTAGTATTCAGCTAGTACTCATTTTCCAATCAACAGTGGGTGGGTGATATGATATACAATAATTTAACCTAACAAATGGGGTCTTAATTGATTGATGATTGAGTGGCCTACAAACTAACTTCCCATCGCCTGTGACACTTTTCCATGCTTATTTCGTATTCAGATTATGTACACAAGCATGTTATTCTGTTACGAAACGAATATTCTGGCTAGCGGTTTTACATTTAATTTATAATCATTTAGGGGCTCCGGTCAATAATATTGTCTCTTGAGTAGCCACATCATGTTATTGGATTCGTTTATCAATTAAGGTCTTATTCATTGATTTTGATAATCGAAAACTCGTTCCATCAATCACTAAAAACGTCCTCCACAACATTTTGTGACTAACATCGCAACCTACTTATGTTCTGTTAGCCAGAAGCATCAATAGCTCTCATGTGATAAGTATGACATAAGGTTATTAAGTTATAAGTTGATAAGAAGAGGATATTCAGTGGATAACTAAGTCATGATCAGAACCGATAGAGAATATTATAAATTCTCTTCTTACCACCTAGCTACCCTTATTGATCAGTATTCTTGTACATCTTGTACTTCACGCGACAAGTCTCCAGATCAGAACAGGGACGTATTTATACACCGAAGTAGGAATCACAATAAAAAAACGTTAGTATATTTATAGTTTTTACATATCAAGATTCTAGAGACTCCTCCGAGTCTCCGTTAGCGCTGATTGGGTAAGAAATAGCCAATGAACGTGCCTCAACACAATCCTACACGGAACATGCTTTAATCCAATCTAGATCCCGCTACAGAGGTCGACTTTCATTTTGGCATGAATAATTAGTCAACAATAACACAGTTTTGTTAGCGTTACCTACAAACCTATCGCATTTTTATTCACATTAATATCTTCAGGTCTGTGTGGCATCGTGTCCAGAATATTACTGGTCTTGGAAAACTCCTTTTGATAAAAAATCTGAGGAGTTTAATGTCAGAAGTTTAATGATATGTCTGGGGGGTGTAAATGCGAATGACCCTAAATTTGCCAACCAGGTAAGTTATTCCATTCTTTCATACTTTGACTGGTAAGTATTCTTTATCAAAGAAAGAATTCAAGGAACAAATTTGCTTTAGCAAGTTCATTTTCAAAAGCTGTATTTGAGTCTAGTTACTATATATATTTAATAACGAATTTCAATCATATAATTTTTAAGAATTTCATTCTGCTTTTTTGTGGTCCAGATAAAAATTAAAGCTCAAAAGTTACTTAAACCTTTCACTAAGTTGATAACTGATAAACTCATAAGCATCAGATGAAATAAAAAATTACAAATATAAATTAATATTAGTTTGTAAAAACAGAAATATATGCTTTAATATTCTTAATAATTCAAAGTATTTTATTCAATTTGAAACGGTTCGGATTATCCCATTGGGAGCGGCTATCTGGACTCAATAGCTAAGTAGATAATGCGATGGCATTTATAGCGAATAGTGCTGGGTTCAAGTCCAAGGGTAAACATCAACTCTGGGGTGCAGGTACATCCACCTGAGTCCCAAATAGGATGAAACGCGGGTCCTGGGCTATCAAAAGTCAACACGGAGTCTTTTTGAGTCACAAGTCTGGTTTCCATTTCTATTTTGTTAGTACTTTCAGACTATAAAATAAATGACTTTTTAGGTCATTAGTATTTCGTTGTTCTATATATCTGATCTAAATCAATCTACCTGAACTATTTGAACTTCGTTGATAGCAGTGTTGACAATTTTTGGACAGGATTTTCTCTCATCAGTTTATAGTTAATCACTTGTTACATAAATTCTAATGCTTTAGAATATTTTAGACCACAATTAATATAAATTAAATTTGTTAGCTCGAAAATGGTGACCTCATTAAAAATTACATTAAATATTCTAATCAGTAACAAAAACTAGAAATTTAACTGTAACCTATACAGCCTTATATCAATGTAAAATTTGTAGATGTAGAATTTTCTCTATGAAGTACTAGAGATTAAGGATTAATCATACTGTTAGTCATAAAATATGTTAATTGTAAAGTTTTAAGAGATAGTTGTGCAGTTTATTTGTATCAATTTTTCACAAATATATTTGGTAACATTTTACATCGTTTTCTTTTAGAGTATTGAACAGTTAGTACAAGACAAACAATGTGCCCCATATATATATCACTCCAAATCAAGTTAGTTTTAAAAATTACATCTCTATTTTATAACATGGATTTTGAACTTTTTGAAATGGTTAAACATAAGCATGATACAACCCGTTTTGTTTCTGTATAATTATAATTGTCCATTTTGAGTTCTCTAGTAGATGTATCACTTTCTAGTTTAATTTTTATTTACTAAATTATTTGATTGTATTCTATAAAAGTGCTTGGTCGGTGCATCCCAAGTCAAGTATCTCGGTTAATCGGAAATGGAACTGGTCAAGTTCGTGATGAAACTGGTAAACGTATACTTTTAAAGAATGCTAAAGATCAAGAGGTGAATGGTACGGAAGTAGCGAAAAGTCGAAAGTAAGTAAGTCTACAATAGGTTGTTTTGGCCCTCTCAAGTCATTTTCACTTTAAGTGTAATTACGTCAAAGACTCCATTTAAATCTATTACACTATAAATATATTTTAATTTTTTGATTGGTGAACCTACAGGGTACGATTATTCGGTGCCGCAGTGTAGTATAGAACTCTATATTGTTATGTTTGGTGTACCACATGTACGTCCAATTTTCCCACTTTAGATAAGGATTCAGTTTTCAATCAATTAAGAATTAATGTTTTTCGTTTTGTTTAAACCTAACCTTCATCATATCTTCATTATTTTAAACACTAAATTTATCAAGTAAATGCTGTACCGGATAGACTGCACTTTAATCACCATTGTAGTCTCTTCATAATTGTTAAATGAAAATATATGAAGCGATTTCACACTTGTTATGTCTGTAAAGGTGAAGTTTAACTTATCATCTGACAATTTCAAGTTTTTCGAAAAAATCTGTTGTCCTGATTAATTATTTATTGTATATGCAGATTTTAACATTGCCTATTTTAGTAGCACTAATTATAGTCTCGTTGCCAAAAATAGTAATGATAAAGTTGTCCATGATAAACGAGAATCTCAGACTTGAATAACTTTGTGAGTTGTAAGCGGTATTGTGTGCAACTGCGTGCTGTACCAGTTCTAAAACTTGGGTAACTGAGAAGCGATAACACTAGTTGTTCAAATTCGTGCATCATGATGTTTATGTCTTTTATAGCGTATATTTGTTGCCACCATCTACATGCGTTGTATTGTGTTGTATATTTAACGTGTCAAAATGTCTCTCCTCATGGTAAGGGTTTTTGAGTTATTAATATAAGCTATCTGTTATATCCTAGCGAAGACATAAGTACGGGCAACTCCCAGGACCTATTAATGGACTATTATTCTATATGTATTCTTATTGTATAAGTATTCTGTAATTGGATTGTGTGTATCTACATTCATCTTATTATAAGCTTCATTTTGACTTATGGATTATTATTATACAAATGACTGTCCCTAAATTATATTCAGCTTATTGATCATAGTCTCCCACATTCACAGCCACATTTGACTTGATTTTGTACAAATATTATTTTCTATTTTATGGTGTGATGCGGTCTGTCTGTCTGTCTGGTATATAAACGGAGTATGCTTCAAATAAATGATTCGCATAGCAGAAGCTGTAATTGGTGTTCTGGACTCAATCGGAAGGGCTAGGCGGACAAGGGACCAGTAAGGACGCTAGACTGTTCATACCAGTTGAACGTCATTGATTTGGCACAGTGTCAAGATTAGACAAGTATTTAGATTAGTGAATAAATCATGTGATACAAGCCGTACATAAAATCATAACGAAATGGCATACGGTCTGTTTTTTATAAAGTCACAACACTATTGATTGTTTACAGCTTTGTCACGGGTTTGAAATTGATTCCACTTTGTGAGATTTCTAAAGTTGAGCGTCTTAGTGTTTAAATTGAGTTGTGAAAAGAATGAACCCGCCATGCATTTTGTTTATTTATAGTTTGTAAATATAGTAACTTACTAATTGCAACTTTTATATGCGCTATCTATGAGTAGCTGCAAATACTATCTTGGTAATATTAGCTTGAATTTCTTGTTAACTAAAGTGTACCTTAAAATTCATTCCCATTGTTTATTGTTTTCTAGAAAATATTTTTCGCAAAAATATTCACCTTTAAACTTTATGATAGTACTGAGTAAATCTAACTAAGAAATAACTTTTCATCATGACCCTGGATTAATGTATGTAGTTTTGATATTAAAACATACACTAATCAAGTAATAAAGAGTAAGTTATTATTACTTCAGATTAAAGGTTGATTTCTGGAAATGAAGAAAATTACACATGAAAGTAATTTACAGGGTGAAATATCTTATCTTAAATACTATTAACTATCAGTCTTGTCATTATCGTTACTGTTTCCACTCTCCTTGATTCTTGAATATTTCTTTTTTTCTGTGCTCTTTGATAGTGCAGCAACGTAACCCAATATCATTTTATGCAATGTTCTGTGTTGTTCATTCCGTTTTGTTCGACAATCTACTGTGTAGTACTGCTGACATACATATTGTGTAATTTGTTGTATATTTGTCAAGTCTTTCCTTATGTGACCCAGGTACTCTTATTGCTTAGTGTTTTTCGGACACTTTACTTCACTCAACTTGTTCTCAGGATAGAACAAGGCTTGGGCAGGTACGTAATTATTTTCCAAATGAACCAAGTCGAACGGGAGTGAAAAATGTTACTACTTATATAATGTTACATGGGATCCTAGAGTCTTCTCCAATTTCCGCTAGCTCTGATTTGGTAGAAGTAAGCCAGTCAATGGGCTCCAATATAATCCTGGACAGTCTATGTTCTACTCACAATACTTGAGTGAATAAAGAGAATATATACAGCTGTCGAGTTAACGACTTCTGTGGTGTTTATTTAGAAACCAATTTATTTGTGTTTTATTTAGTTATGTATGTCACATATATTCAAACTAATTACCCTAATGGTTCATATTATCTAATTTAGTCCGACTTTATATGTTCATGAATATTTGAACAAGTAAGAATACTCCTAATCATTTTGATATTTAGTTTGTTTGTTCGTTGGTTTATTTCTCCAGAAAGCTTTGTTCCTTTGGTGTTTCTACTGCTTCGTGTTTTCCCAAGCCGTTGTTCGGTAATTACGCAAGATCTTACCCAGCTTAAGTTTTTTTTCTTCTTGCTACAGAAAATCCTAACCTTACTAATGGCTTGCAAAATTCTGCAAATGGTCCAAGAAGTTAATTTTTACAACCATTGATTACTGTAGATTTCTCTTTGAACTCGTTTGCCACTATTTGATTAAATCAGATCAGTGGGTTTTAAGCGTTTGTTAATTAAGTGTTTACTTTAGAGGGAACTAAAGCTCAACTGATCATAACTCTTAGACAATAGTTTAAAATACACTAGCATACACAGAAAAACAAAGTGGACAAAGTGATAGTGATGCAGGAAAAATGAAATCATTGAAAGCGAGCATTTCAAAATGGACAGATTTACTGAATAGGATGACGCTGGTTGATGTGGACAAGCTTGTGTAGTCGTAAAAGACTATGAACTTTAGGACTGGTAGCTCGAAAACATTTTCCATATATTACTTTGTACAGTGTAACAAATCGGGTTATAGTATGGCTTTTTCAAACAATATGCTTCCGTAAAAGTAATACGGGATATTATTGGGCCTGTCAAGCTGTTCTTAATTATCATGTACGAAACATACACAGCATGAAGCTAAATTCTCTCATTAATGTTACTAGACGATTTCACGTTCTACGATCCGTACATCCAAATTAATAATCCAAAAAGGGACTAGGTTTCAGGCAGAATACATCGTTTAAATGTCATAGCATATGAATTAAGGATTGTAAAATAAATTAAGGTCGTTAGTGTTGGGATGACTAATACAAATTGTTGATTTGATTTATCAGAGGGGGTTTTGTGGAGATTTAGTATTTTTCATAGTTTTAAAGCATGAGTCAATTGAAGCTAGACCACCATGGAAAACCTGGAAACACTGGACGGCCGTTTCGTCCTATTATGGGACTCCTCAGCAGTGCGCATCCACGAACCCGCTCGCGCGAGATTCGAACCCAGGACCTACCAGTTTCGAGCCGAAGCCCGAAGTCTATCGGTTAAGGGCTTCGGCTCGAAACTGGTAGGTCCTGGGTTCGAATCTCGCGCGAGCGGGTTCGTGGATGCGCACTGCTGAGGAGTCCCATAATAGGACGAAACGGCCGTCCAGTGTTTCCAGGTTTTCCATGGTGGTCTAGCTTCAATTGACTCATGCTTTAAAACTATGATTTGATTTAGTTGATACGTTCAATGAAGTTATGATATTAGTGATCAGAATAAATGTGGGTCAGATTTATTCTGGTCATGAATCTTATTATTTTACTTAACGTATAAGCTGAATGAAGTTAATACCGCATATTGGTCATGTTATAATTTTTAAACAATACATTTTGCCTTTAACATGGCCACATTTTTGATTATTAATTTGGATATATAGTTGTAGAACTGATATGCTTGAATGATATTACAAGTTCACCTTACTCGGTAAACGGAACGAAGGTCAAAGATACAGTGACACGATAGTCTATTCTAATCCGTTGTCCCCGGCCCTGCTAACTGAATCAATAGGACTTGATGAAGTGTAGAGAATGTATTCTACAAGCCCCCAAAAATTCGAGGTCACTAAGCACACAAATCAAGCTTATTTATACAATGATAGAAACGCCCATGGGAGAGCAACAAAATAGCGTGCTAAAAATCCGTCAACTAATGGCAGTCAAAGATTTCCTATTGGGAAATGTACGCTGTAGGTTAACTAAGCGTCTCTTGGCGCGAAAACATAGAATTCAAATTTTCAGAATAAAATTACAAAATTAAAACCTTTCTGGAGATATAACAGCCTGAACAAGACCCTGAAAGGAATTAATTGAAAAGAGTATACTTTGTTTATATATCAGTGTTTTAATGTGTAGGTTTTATAATAAAATGTGCACTAATTAGGTAGTAATCAGTAAGTTATTACTACTTTAGTTTAAAGATGACCGTCAAAAATACAAAAAAAATACTTTTAAAAGTAATTTACAAAATGAAATATCTCATCACTTTCTACTTTTGAAAATGGAAATGTGCAAACAGTTTGGATTTCGCCGTTATTTTTTATTACTTGTTCTTATGAGTTGAATTACTTTGATCGCTATACATTTCATCCACGGATTATGAGTACAAGTTTATTTCCTTCAATTATATGTCTAGTTTTTTAGAAAACTCACCGAGTCTTCGTTCTTCAGCGGTAAATAAACTTTTCGTCTACAGATACAACTTTCAACCTACTCTAGTTTGAGTAAGATCATTCACATTACTGCTCTATAAATCTCTATCCTTTAATTCCTTAATAGCCAAAAATTATACTTCTAATACCACTACAACAAAGTCTAATAACCCAATATTTGTGATTGGGAATTTATAGCAAAATGATCACTAAAATTTATTCATCTTCATGTCTGAATGAGACATTGTTTGAATTAGTTTAGGGATTACCCTCGACAGTTTTGATTACCCCATTAATTCAGTCAGTCAGTCACAACGTAGAACTTCGTACGTACGAACATCAGTTCGAGTTGCCATACCACATTAGCACAGAGATGCAGTTGTCGATTCAAATCCAATAGTGGTATAGGTAGTAAGAGTATAATCAGAAATCCAAAAGATTAGGGTTTGAAGAAATTATTGAAGGAGTATAGTACAGTGAAATAAATTTGGAAAGAGAAAAAGATAAATACATGAGGAATTCAGAAGATTAGAATTTGGTAGAACACAAGGAGTGTATGCACCTTCGCCATTGCAAACGATTTTGAGCCTTGTCATTCAAGGTCTCTAACCATCGGTTGCTGTCATCTCGCGAATCCCAACCAGGTAGTCTACACCTACCAACATGGCCCAGTCCACTTGTCAGTGACTTCATTGATTTGTGCCACGTTTTGATCTGGCCACCCCTAGCTTTCTTCCAACCTACTCCTACACCATGAAACATTGCACGTCGGGGCAGTCGGTGGTCGGGCATACGTAACACATGTCCCAGCCATCTCAACTGATGAAGTTTCACTACTTCATCAATCGATTTGCCATCCCTACCTAGTACCTGTTTCCTAACAACTGCATTACTTACTCGGTGGTCCCAGGATATACGAGCAATAATTTGAAGACACCTATGGTCGAATACTAGTAGCCTACGAATATCCTCTACTCTTATTGGCCATGTTTCACTGCCATAAAGTAGGACGGAGCGAACTGCTGCACAGTAAACCCGTCCTTTGGTTGCTAAACGGATATCTCGCCTACGCCATAAATGAAGCAAGTTGACGAAAGCTAGACGAGCCTTCTGTATCCGTGCTGAGATTTCGTCACACACCAGACCACAAGGGCTGATGAGACTCCCAGGATAAGTGAAGCAGTCAGCACGCTCAACTACTTCACTCCCTATCATTAGTTCAGATGTCGATGCAACCCAATCCTGAAGTAGCATTTCGCATTTCGAGGGAGAGAATCGCATCCCGAACATGCCTGCATAGTTGCTTATAGTAGTCAGAAGACTCTGCATGTTGTCAGCGTCTTCACCGAGTAAAACCATGTCGTCGGCGTATTCTAAGTCAACAAGTGAATCTCCCGGTAGAAGTTCAACTCCAGGAGATTGAGATGATGAAAGTGATATCTCTAAAAGCATGTCAACGACAAAGTTAAACAAGAATGGCGAGAGTGGACAGCCCTGACGAACACCACTTTAAGTAATCAATCCTGATGGCAGTTCGCCATAGGCTCTAACTCGACCAGTTGTGTTCGAGTAGAGAGCCTTTATGAGGTTAATGTACTTCTTTGGTACTCCTTTCACTGACAAACAATGCCGCAGAACCTCACGATCAACGGAGTCAAATGCCGCCTTAAGGTCAAGAAATACTACTATTGTGGGACGTCTGAATGTGTGTCTATGTTCTAGGACCTGACGTAGTGTGAATATCTGGTCTATGCAACCACGTCCAGGTTGGAAACCAGCTTGGTTTTCTCTAGTCTGCTCTTCACGAGCTTTGGTTAGGCTTCAAGGTATTATTGAAGCTAATATTTTAGACACTATATTAGTCAAACTGATCCCTCTGTGATTGTCACAGGAGGACTTTTGTCCTTTCTTATAGACTGGCACAATCAGTGATTGGGACCAGTCAGATGGAATTACGTCCAGTTCTCAGATTCTACCTAAGACCTCAGTCAATCTCGTTGCTAGTACTGGACCACCATCCTAAAAAATCTCAGGGGTAAACATATCAGGGTCTGCTGCTCTCCCTCGCTTCAAGTTTCCTATAGCTTTTTCAACCTCGTAGAGAGTTGGAGGACTTACCTCAATTTGCCATTCAGGAAGACTGGGGATCGTGGGTAACTGAAGTGTGGCTGAAGGCCAGTTGAACTGATCCCTAAAGTGTTCTGCCCATCGATCCAATCTCCTGGATGATGCACACCTCGCCTTATCCCACGGATATCCGTGGGATAAGGCGAGGTGTGCATTTTTAGGGTCGACCTTTTCTAACCCCACCCCTCCTTGTGGGAAGGCAGCATCGCTGTCATGCTGGTTGTCTGAAGGAAACACCTTACTGCTTTCACACCTCTGTACAGTCAGCAGTACGACTTCGCCTTCGGACCTTGGGATTGCTGCTTTTAGTCTCACCGCTCTTCAACCGACCTGTCTGGCATGGTAGGACCTTGAGGAACCCCATTAATTACCCTTCTCACATAACTTTTCACTTGAATTACTAAGTCTGTTTCTCTTTTTATCTTATTTTTAATAATATCTGAAAATCAAAACAACCATCTTTTGTATTCTGTTACTGTTAGTATTTACAATTAAAAGTGTCAACTGCAAGTATTTTCTATCTGCATACCATTATCTTTTTCAAATAGCATACTAACATTGGTGATGCATGATTTGTTACTTTTAATCTTCGTTTATACTTTTCAGAGTCAATTGTTATACTTATATTTCTAAAAATGATTATTAATGTGCTCACATATTCGTTAATTATCATAATGCAAAATGGATTGTACGCCGAGTTCTTTTAAAAGTAAAATGTGAATAAAATAATTGAATTTAGTCGATTAGGAACGATCAGATTCAACATATATTGTGTTTGTATGTAATCATGAAACCCGTGATAAGATATTATGCATGGAGTTTCACATTAAAGAGAGTATTTCTACTGCAACTTTAGGCACATATCCTTTATCTGGATGTCATATTTATAGATTTATGTAGAGAGTTATTGACTGAATCCTTTTTTATTTTAATCGTTTGGGTGTATTACCAATATTTATTGTTTATTTTCAGATTGGTGTTGGGATTTACTACAATCTTTGAAAAAGTTGTTGCTGATCTAAGTCAAACCTGGCATATTATATTGATGTAAGCATCACTTTTGATTTAATTACTAGTTTTCTGTGTAGGTTTTCTTATGACTTATTTGGTAATTTAGGAATCCGGATGCTTTCAGGCTCTTTTTACGTTGACTAGATCATAATTGACTGTTTTGTAGTATTGGAAAGTATTACAAAACCTCTTATCACATGCATCAGATACATAGGCACTTATCCAAGATCATTATGATGATTAAGAAGAAGCTCAAGAACATTTAAACTTCAAACCCGACCTTTCTGTACAAGAGAATTATGCTCCACCTGTTATTCTTCTATGGTCTTAATGCCTCCTCCTAATCTTACAAACTGTAGGTGGTCATTATTATCTTATTCTTCACCTTCTTCTCTGTCAAGTAAACAGTTGGTTCCGGCATTTATTGTTTAGATTATTAATTGTTATGGTTTCCAAACTACTACGCAACCTTATTTCTTGATAATTTTGATTACTTTCTAAATGATACAACACCCATTTTATTCAGTATCTGGAAAACTTTGAATAACTTTAATTACTGTGAAATAACATTCATTTATTGACTTATTTTATTTAACACTTGATATCTTTTGACAGTTTTTGATTACTTTATTATACTACGCAACACCACTTCATCGTCATAGGCTTTTGCATCCGATACTTGAATATGTTTGATTATCGTCGATAATTTCTTAACACCTCTATTTTAAGATAGACTACTCGCTATAAAATAACTTATGCAAACGATTGTACAGCTTAAGAAAATGATATCGGCAGAAAGAAAATTTTCTTCACTGAAATAACTTTACAAGGCATTTACTTTTTTTAATGGCCTTTGATAACTGTTTACATTTGTCCTTAGTGTAATTAGATTGTGAGATTACTATGAAACTGTAATGCACTTTGTGTGTTTGTATGTATGAACTGGTTTTTCTTTCTGGCACGTGCACTTTGTTTTAAAAGAAAAATAAACAACTTATATAGTGTGCTCAGACAAGCGAACACTTTTGTAGCATCATTTATACGTGCAAAGTCTTCGTTTTCTCATTAGTTTTTTATGACCAATCATCTTCAGTGAAATAGCCAATGTTGAACGATGAAACGTGCCATATACTTATTGAAACGAAATATGATAATCCATACATGCGTTGAATATATTAGCTTATTTCATTTGTCCGACGTTAAACGCGATTCTATTACAATATTCATTAGTCGCAAATTTTTCCTAGACTGTCCGTTTTCTTTTAAATTTCCGTCACATTTTTCTTGCTTAAAACACTAAAATTCTTAATGTATAGCTTTATTACTTTTTATTTACCCTTTTATGGCGCGTTATTTCTCACGATTGAGTTGTTTTGAGATTTTTCCCTTTCAGTAAACAAGCTTCTCCTACCTTCGGTATTAAGCTAAGTTTATAATTAATTATTGAGTAGTGACCAGAATCATAAGTGTCCAGTTCTTTGGTGCTGATCGTATTCTTTTGACCAAGTTGGAGTGACCACTTCTTTGGGTGACTCAGCATTAGTCATGTCAAGTCAGGGACAACGTAGGACCATGCACATACATGCATCGGTCCAAGTTGCCATACCTCGTTAGCACAACAAGATGAACACCGGATTCATAGAAGTAATTAATTTAGTGGTGGTTGTATATAAAGAAAGGTTGTATATAAGGATATAGTATAGGAAGGAAGAACGTTATGAAGCAATTTTAATCTCAAGATTTAAGGGAAGATAAAGAGTCTATACACCTGCGCCATTGTGATCGATTCTGAGCCATGTCACCCAGAGTCTCCGACCATTAGTTACGATAGTCACGCGGACCCCAACCAGGTAGTCTGCATCTACCAACATGGCTCAGACTAGAAGTTAGTGACTTCAAGCACTGATGCCATGTTTTGGTTTGGCCGCCCCTAACTCTCTTCCAACCATCCCCAATACTAATCAGCATTGCGCGTCGTGGTATACGTAACACGTGGCCCAACCATCTCAGTTGATGAAGATTCATCACCTCATCAACTGATTCACCATCATTCCCTAATACCCCACATCTAATCTCACTATTACATACCTGGTGATCCCAGCAGATGCGAGCAATATTTCTAAGACATCTGTGGTCAAATACTAGCAACTTGAGAGTATCTTCTACTCTTAATAGCCACGTTTCGCAGGCATAAAGTAGAACAGAGCGAACTGATGCGCAGTATACTCGTCCCTTAATTAATAGACTGATATCTCGCCTTCGCCATATGTGACGTAAGTTGGCAAAAGCTAAACGAGCTTTTTGAATCCGTGTAGAAATTTCGTCAGAAACCAACCCATTAGGGCTAATCACACTTCCAACGTAAGTAAAGTTATCGACCCGTTCGACTACTTCACTCCCTATCTTTAGTTCAGGTGTTGACGCAGGCCAGTCCTGGAGTAACAATTTACATTTGGATGGGGAGAAACGCATCCCAAACATCCTGGCATTATTACTGAGTTCCAACAGAAGACTCTGCATTTTGTCAGTGTCTTCACCAAACAGGACTATGTCATCTGCGTATTCTAAGTCGATAAGTGAACCTCCTGGTAGAAGATCAATTCCTGAAAATTCAGTCGACGAGAGTGTTATTTCCAGCAACAGGTTTATTATGAAGTTAAACAAAAATGGGGATAGTGGACAGCCTTGACGGACACCACTTGAGGTTGTAAAATCATATGACAGTTCGCCATAAGCTCTCACTCGACTGGTAGTGTTCGAGTAAAGAGCCTTCACAAGGTTTATGTACTTCAGAGGTACACCTTTTAATGACAGACACTGCCACAGAACCTCTCGGTCTACAGAGTCAAATGCTGCTTTCAAGTCAAGAAAAACTATCATTGTCGGACGCCGATAAGCATGTCTGTGCTCTAAAACTTGACGAATGGTGCATATGTGGTTGATACAGCCACGACCAGGTCTGAAGCCAGCCTGATTTTCTCGTGTTTGCAGTTCACGAGTCTTAGTTAGGCGCCCGATAATTATTGAGGCTAGTATTTTAGATGCTATGTTAGTCAGACTAATCCCTCTATGGTTATCGCAGGATGATTTTGACCCCTTTTTATATATTGGGACAATCAGTGATTGTGACCAGTCGGATGGGATTACATCCGCCTCCCAGATTTTAGCCAGAATATTAGTCAACCTAATCGCTAAAATTGGACCACCATATTTAAAGACTTCTGGAGCCAATCCATCTGGACCAGTTGCTCTTCCTCGTTTCAGATTACTTATAGCCTTTTGAACTTCAAGAAGGGTCGGGGGGCCTATTTCAATGTTCCATTCTGGTTTTCTGGGAATAGTGGGTAGATGTGCAGTAGCTGAAGGCCAGCTAAACTGCTCCTTAAAGTGTTCCGCCCATCGTTCTAAACGTTTGGGTTGAGAGCAGATAAGGATTCCGTCTTTTTCCGAGATTGTCTCACATTTGACTTCTTAATTCCGGTTTCTTTTATTAGTCTGAATAGTTGCCTGGTGTTGCCTACAGCCGCTGCCTTTTCCATCTCTTTTGCTTTCGTTGCCCACCACTGCTCACGATCGCTCCTTAGACTTTTAGTTAACCTAGATCTAATTTGTTTACGCTCTTCGTCGTGTTCAGAGCCTGATGGGATGAGTTTACGCGAATTCATCAGTGAAATAGACTTAGAAGAAATCCACTGGTTTTTTGGAGCCCTATGGTTTAAATAACTAATAGATGTTACTGCTGTTTCCACAGTTGTTCGTGTGTCAACGGGTCGCCAGATACACGGAGGGTGTATTTCGTTGGCTGTCCATTTTGGCGAGGTGAGGTCAAGTGAATGGCCATACTGGGATCCTGTATGTGTGTTTCGGAGACACAGCATACATCAATGATACGAGATTCTAGGGTTTTAGCTAAGGAGGCCTGTTGACCGATTTGGCATAGGGTACGTACGTTGAAGGCTCCAATGTGTAGTTTGGAGCGAGGTTTCAGTAGACCTGGGACAGCGTTTCGCGCACTAGAATCGTTGGCCATGGTGACACTTGAGGAGGAAACCGGAAGAGGAAGTTTAGTGTTGAAAGTCAAGGTAGAAGGAATAGTAGGAATTGAAGAAGGAGATTGAGTGCTGTTAGAGGTATGAGGGCAGTTATCACTTCCCGGTTGCCCACACCGTGGAAGGGTTCTTCTAGGGGTACCTGAAGAGGAAATTTGGTTAGAAGTGGTCTTAATGACCTGGGAGCGTGACCGCAGTGCCCAAGAGACATCTGCTTGAGGCTGGTCACGCACGGCCTTTTTGTGGGGGATTTTTGATGTGTTAGCTCCGTTCTTCAAAAGTCCTTACCGCCGGAGACGGAAATCCGTGGGATAAGGCGAGGTGTGCATTTTTAGGGTCGACCTTTTCTAACCCCACCCCTCCTTGTGGGAAGGCAGCATCGCTGTCATGCTGGTTGTCTGAAGGAAACACCTTACTGCTTTCACACCTCTGTACAGTCAGCAGTACGACTTCGCCTTCGGACCTTGGGATTGCTGCTTTTAGTCTCACCGCTCTTCAAACGACCTGTCTGGCATGGTAGGACCTTGAGGAACGATTGTTCCAGCCAGTATAGCTCCATTGGTTCATCACGATAGGCAAGCTCGACCACCATGTCAAGGTAGCAGCAACGGTCGGGAACTCAGCATTACGCACAATGTCGAGATGTTAGGTGGTTAGAGGTAGTTGACAGGAGACTCGGAATATAAGTTTCCTGCCAATTGCCACTCGTAATCAAGGTTCATCTGCAATGTTGAAGGATTTAACGCTTCTTGTGGGACTCCAACCCGCGTACCTGAACAAGAATGACATTCATCACTACCTAGTGATCAATCAGCTACAAATATTTTAGTCACATAGGATATCGGTCTCTACCAGAATAGCTAAGTAGTAGCATCTGAGATTGTAAGTCTTGCAGATGCGGGTTCAAATCCTACAGAAAGCATCGATTCCCTGAAGATTTTAGGTGCTCCTTGCGGATGAGTCGTAGGTGGAACGAAACCCCAATCTAAAGTTTCTTACCGACCACCTTCAACCTATTAATAAAATTAAGTATCTGAGATAAGTAAAGACTTCAGTTACTTCTCAAGACTTGTTTTCTTGATAGAATACCCGAACCTACTTTATGTTGTCCCTTGTTTAATGCCATCTTACTCAATTCAATGCGCTAAATGAATACTGTGCAAACGCAATTCTTAAGTACAGTTCTCGTAAGCCAAGAAATCTTATAATTCGTTTATGTAATTGACTATAGATTGATTATGTTAGGCATATTTAGTTTAAGTGTAACAGTTTATAACAATAGAATATGAATTATTAAACGGCTTTTATAGTTACGATGTGAAATACAGTTTACAATGTCTTTTTTTAAAAGAAATTTATTTACGTGTTAATATGTATTTTGTTTGGGTGTTTTTGTTGATTTTTCTTGTTTTTCTGCTAATTTAAGATTCCGTTACATACACATTTCTCACATACTAATTAAACCTTATCATGTTTATGGTTTTATTTCCAGATGTATTTCAGTATCTGTGGTTTTGTCATTCTGTTGGATCGTTTTATTACGATGCTGTACATCAGTTATGGTTTGGACTACATTAATTCTATTTGTTGCCCTGTTTTCTTTCGGTAATTATTGTCTTAGATTTGAATGAATATTTCTTTCGTACTTTTTTTGTCTAATTATTGTTATTTATAACAAAGAGAGTATTTTTATGTATTTTTTATTTTTATGCTTTTTAATGTACAAAAATTGTAATGTAAATATACCTTTCCTAAGTTTAGTTATGTAGGCTAAAGATGAATGAAATGCCTATATTAATTAGTTCGTTCTTGGTAGCGATTGTTTAATTAAATAATGATCATTATATAATCAGTTAAGATGGTGATTGGAGATAGTCAACAGGAAACTCTGGACCTAGGTTACGTGCTACTTGGCGCTCTTCAGCAAGGTGTACCTTTAATCATGAGGGTACTGATTCTCTCTGACAGATTTGATCACGTGCCACCCAGCTTCACAGTCATAGGCGTTACCACTGAGATATCCAGGCCGCTACTTACCTCCTGTAGAACTGAGATGTATCCACAATTGATTGATCACTGGGCGATGATCAATGTCATATATGTCAGGTGCTTCTTAGTGTAGATCGAATCCTACTGATCAAGTTGCAATGTAGTCACCAGTTCCCTCAAGAATACAGGTACACCTTTCTGACAAGTGCCAAACAGTATGTAACCTAGGTCCAGAGTTTCCTGTTGACTGCCTCCAATCACCATCTTATCTCAATATAGTGCGCGCAATGTCGAGTCACCTAGACTGGTGACCACATTGCAACTTGATCGATAGCATCCGATCTGCACTAAGAAGGACCTGACATACATGACATTTATCACCATCCAGTGATCAATCAGTTGTGAATAATCAGCTAAAAGATTTTGTTTGTATGTAAACAACTGAAGGCTGTAAATTCCTCTTTGTTTTTATCAAATTTGTGGATTCAAAATGATATCACTTAAAAATTCCCAGATAAATTCGTACTTATTAAAGTCGACATACCATGTGTTCATCCCTAAACATCATCTGCAACTCTTGTCGGTTGTTTATGACGACAGTTAATTTGACGCATGATCGCCGTTTTCATCCGATATATATATATTTAGCATGAAATTAGATCGGTGTATGTGTGTACAATCAATTGTGTTTTCATTGATTTCGCAATACCTCAAAATATTATTTCTAATAAAAAAATGATTCTTGATATCGATTTCATACTTTGTGTACCCATAATACTACTAATATTACTAATAATAATAATAATTATTATTATTTGCTTATGCACTTGTTCCGAAATGGACTTATAATTCTGTCAGTGAAACAATAATAGCATATTATCATTTATTTTATGTCTACATTCTTGGTATGCAAATAGTTTTGTTCTTTTTTTGTAAAATTATGCCTTTGCCAAGTTACTCAATAATAAATAAATAGTCTAAATATTGTATAACATGAACATTAAGTAATTTCAATTATCATTTTTCATAATGAAATAATTACAATAAATTACTGATCAATTTTCAAAACTTGATAATCTTATGAATTTCAATCTGTTGTTTCATATGTATGCGGTGTTTACATTTCAGTTGACATGTTCAAAAAAGAACTGATTTTTGTAAATAAGATTGCAAAGTTCTATTCTAGATATTATTGGACTCTTTGTATATAAAGAAAATTACCCATTCATATAACTTATTAGTGAAAGCACCTAACTTGTAAACATTGGGATGTAGCTTTTCACGTTACTTCACTACCTTTTCCAAATAACCTATCAGTGGCTCAAAGTCGAGTACGCAAAATCTTCCTTTAGATTCATCTTAAATTCTACTTTTAGTATGTCTTTTTTGTTCTCTTCCATTATAATACGATAATTATGGAGTTTCTTAAACCGTCACTGAAAAGTTATCGTTTTTCAGTTCTTATCATTTATTTTTTTCTTTATTTTTTATTTTTAGGTACTGTGTTTTGTTTTTATAGATGGAGTGTATTGCGTAAGACACCTGAGGGTTCTAATGATCTTGAATTCTCTTTAAATATTGTTTCGTATTTCCGTTCTGCATCAACATGGCTTGCATTAGGTTAGTTATTATATATTTATAAAACAATCTTTTTTTGTTTTATTGATACTTTAATCACCGTTCGCAAGGCATCCTGTAAATTTGATCAGTGTTCATAAGTTGCTAACATCTATCTAGTGGAATTACCTTTAAGAATGATTCGATTCTATGTAAATTGTAGGTTGAATCGGTTTGCTTAATTTCAATTAAATTCCAGTGAAATGTTTTCAGGTGCGTTTTTATTGGTGTGATTTAGACTTTTTTGTATTCTTTGACTAATAAGTAATGCCTTTTTTCACTTTTAGGAATTATTTTTGCTATTCTACTGGTGATCATACTTCTAATATTAATATTTTTGCGCAAGCGTATTCGTGTGGCTATTGCAATATTAAATGAAACAAGCAAGTATGTTTACTTGTGCTAAAGTTTCTGTTGCCTATATTAACTGACAGATATAATTTCACATTTTTCCCCTTTCAGTTTAAAAATATATATAAATATGATAAATAATGAAATTAATATGGTTTATGATTTTCCCGACATATTTATTTCAGAGCAGTTTCAGCTATGACATCTGTATTGTTTTGGCCAATACTACCGTTTATTCTTGAATTGATTGTTATTTCTCAAGTTTTATTTGTGGCTATTTCATTGCGGACAATAGCTGATCCTATTGGAACTAAAATTACCAATGATGATCTTGCCGTAACCCCGGGATTTGCAGATAAGACTAGAAATGATATAAAAGGGATTTTTCAACTTATTCCATGTGATCCTTTAGTAAGATTAATTTTATTTGCAATGTAATACTTGCTTTCTTTTGTTTCATTCATAGATTCTTCAAAATGATTTTTTTTACTAATGTCACAGTATAAGATTTAAATTTGTTAAGATAAGATCTTGGTGTTTTCGTTTATTTTATTTATCACAACCTAATATCCTTCAAGGAATTATTGAAATAGATGGTGGTTCCCTTCATTGTTTTATACCTTTTAGTAATTCAGTAGTTGCTTGAATGAGTTTAGGTTGATTTTTTGCAGCTGACTGTTGGTGTTTGATAAATCTTTGCACTCATCAAATAATAAAAACGGTACACCGAAAGCCCGTACATTAATCAAATGTCCTATGTGTCTATCGAATGGCATTTCGTTGTTTATCTATCCCATAGTACAGTACTTGTTATCCGCAACAGACTTTATATACTCTTTTGCCATGATCTGAGACTTAAGATGTTACAATTCCTTAAGAAGTTAAGTACAATCAACACAGGTAATCAAGTGACCTAAGATAAGAATTATCCATGTACTTTAGAGTATTTGTTAAACTTGAAATACTTCACTACAACATTTATTATTAATAAATTCGTCCTTTTTAAAAACTTATTTGTATTCGTGTCAATGACAAACATTACTTTTTTCTGTTTCTCAACTTATTCGTTGTATTGTAGCAAAACAATTCAGCTGGCAAAGCTTGTCGTTTTCTGTATTATGGAGACCGAAAGTAAGTTATTGTATGATAATCTAAGTTAACGATACAGTACTATTAAGTATAAACTAAGATCTTCACTCAGTGTCTTGTCTACAACGGGTCACTATTATGCTATTCCTTGACGTTGGGCTCCCGTTACCACTTTCAATCACACGCTAGATGTCTATTATCTTTGTTACTGATAAACAGTTAATTGTAGTTTCATCAATCGAAATTTCAAAACATTGAATTGTAATATTTTTCGTAGTTCATTTCTTGGTGTTTTATGTTTTTACATTACATCAAATTATTCAAAGAATTACTGATTTGATCTTGACATCTCAGTCAGTTAACTTTATATTTAGTCACTATTGAGTCTTTACAATTATGCCAAAGGATTTTTAACGTGCGATAAATTTGTGCAATCAATGAAACTCCGCTTTGTGTCGTCGTCATACAGTTCATTGTCTTTAAGTGATACATAGTTTATTTACTTAAACACATAAACATTGGTACAAGAAGGCACTAAATACATAAGCGCCACACAAATCATTTGATATGTGCGGGGGCTGAAACACCACCCAGGTACCCAAACTGAAACAGGTGGTTTTCTTAGGGGGCCACATCCGGAGCCTTCGACCTAAAGGTCTATTCCACAAGGCAGTGGAGCGACGTTAGGAGAGGCAGTCCCATAGTAGCCAGTGACCAACGATTGGTTCAGGTGCCATTTGCTCCTTCAGAATCCTAGAGCTTATGTGCACCGTTAGTTTGGAATCAGGATTTGCCAACTCCCCATTGGTGGGTCCTTAGTTTCCACCAACCTGGTTAAAGTGTCGGACATTCGCTTTTCGTCGTCTCGGTTTCGTAAAATCACCTACACTATGAAAAGTCAGTGAGTCGAACTTCTGTGGTAGTGGCTGTATACGCATGACCATGTGGGAGCATTTTGAGGAGAAGAGCGGATCCTCCCCGTCGACCGTATCAGGGCATACCATATTAATACAAACTGATATATATATATATACATAAGATATTATGCCTCTTCAATGCTCTTTTAATTTATTTATATAACAAATAGTTATTGGGTTAAAATCACAATGGCAGTTTTTCAATTAAATTCTACTTCACAAAGTCACATATATATTTTTACTTTTTTGCCGTTTTTTTATTTCTAATTTAGATATACTATCTACCTACAATTATTCAATTTGTTCATGTTCTTTTGGTTAATCAATTTTGTCAAATCCTTAACACAAATGACTTTAGCAGGAACATTTGCTGAATACTACTTTTCATCTCAAGATAAAAAATCTACGTCAAAGTGTCCATTAATAACCAGTTTATTTCGATCAACCTTTTATCATACTGGTTCATTAGCATTTGGATCATTTCTAATTGCTTTATTACAATGGCTACGTGTTATAATAGAATATATCAATACAAAATTGAAGAAAGCTAATAATCCTGTTACAAATTTTCTTTCAAAATGTTTAAGTTGTTGTTTTTGGCTACTTGAGAAATTTCTAAAATTTCTTAATAGAAATGCTTTTATTATGGTAAGTTCTTATTTCCTCGTAATACACTAAATGTTTTGGATATATAGTTTATTTATTTATTTAAACACATAAATATTGGTACAAAGGGGCACCAGATACATATGCGCCACACAAATCAAATAAGATTTGTGTGAGGGCTGTGATACTGCCCGGGTGCCCAAACCGAAACAGGAAATATGGTCCAATGAGTTGCAATTATAATGCATCCGTACTTAGTCTGAGTTTAAATCATGAACACATTAGTATGCATTCTCTCTTTTAATGTTTACATAATTGATGGTCCTTTTGTTATTTCTTCTATCCATATGCTGTCAACTATGTCGATCTAAATTGTGAAAAAAATTATGTGTTATTTACAATCTGTTTATTATCTATTCTAAGTAAATTTTTTCCACACATTTACATAGTTCACAATTAAGTGTGTAAATGTAGTGTGCAAAATCTACATTCTGTCAGTAGGTTAAACAAGAACCAGGGTGCTAAATTTTATAAGATAACGTTATGATGCCTATAGTTTACAAGTGTTGTAAAATACTGAAAGTTGCTTGTGAAAGCGGTTGCAAAATAAATGTACTTAAATTCATAATATGACTTTTTAGATAACTCGACTTCATACATGTTTTTCCATACCCTCGTTCTACCTGTTCATTTTAAGAACCATATTATCATGTTTTGTTCATATCAACCTATTTTATTATGGCACAAATATGTATATACATTGATGGGTCATTAAACATTTCGAAAATAAATTGATCTTAGTTTTTAATCGATTTCGTATCCAAAACATGTGGGTTAGTTTTACTACAGAAATCCTTCGTATGAATGTGTGATTATATTTTTCCAAAAAATGGAATGAACTTAACTGTAGTATATGTAGTAAACTCGTGATGCCAAAATACATTGGCCGGTGTCGGATATTAACAGTTGTGATTATTCATTTTAACATAAGTAATCAAAGTCTACTGGATTGTAAATGGGAATATACGTTTTCTTTATTTTGTTTACACGTTGTATATAATGCTTATCAATGCAATCATAAAAAATCTTTTGCAGATAGGAAATTTTCCATTTTATCGATTTATTATTGATTTATAAGTTCATTCTTATATTTTTGATTACTGTGGCCTCTAAAATCTATGGCTAATTTATGGTTTGTGTATATTTCCTTTCATGTATGTACACTTTAGAATACTTTTTCTCTTGCATACAATTTAAACATTCTAAATAACTTTTAATGCACTATTCGAGCACAGATAATTAAATGATTCAGCTTTCTACTCACTGAGATCAAAATATTAAAACATGAGTGATGAGTGTTAGTGACGTACATTTCGTGTTTTGTACTGAAAACGCTAAAATATTGTTATAATACAGTTACCAATAATGAGTAAGGGTTTTTTCTAGAACTATCTAATTGGCGAATTTACATCTAATATTGTAGATAATTCTGTAGTTTATTGTTTAATCGGAAGTAGTAAATTGTTGTATATTTTCATCCACACACCTTGTTGAAATTGCTACTGTGTTATTATGAATGTACGACGACAAACCATTATCCTTGTTTTGAGGAATCTCATATTCTACCAGTTACTGTGAATAGTTTGTAAGTTGAATATCGATTGATTGAATGTTCATTCTTAATTGTTTTACTGGAATCTAGAAAAGATTTAACATTTGGTTTCGAGGGTGAATTTTCTTTAAAGTCGCAATCAATAAGTGCTGATGAAATCAGTTTATAATAAATTATTTGTATTTCCAAGTTTATTTAGTTGTTCCTGAACAGATACTTTGCATGCATAAAAAACCGTTAACAATATTTGTAAAACTAAATCAAACAGGAATGATTATCAACATACTTCCCCGTAAAATATACAAAAGTAAACTTTTGAATTGAAAGTAATATTTATCCTAGTAATTTTTTATTATTTTTAAAAATCTTATTTAGGTTGCTATCTATGGTCAAAGCTTTTGTTCTGCCTCTCGTTCAGCATTGTCTTTACTCGCGCGCAATGTAGTCAGGTACTTGTATATGAACATTGTATATAAAATTTTCTTCAAAAATAAATTATTATGTATTATATGTATTTCAATATATCCACATCTTTTGCAATAGTTTTATTTTCTTATTTTAAGGAAATCATCCTTTTCTATTACATTGTTTTGTCGTTTGTTTATATTTAGTGTCAATCACATTTCTTCTTCTCTCATTTTGTAAATTATCTTTTAAAGCCGTCTCTTGTAAATTGTAGAATGACGTTAGAAATTGTAAATGTTTCCTGCTTTTTAATAATATTTTTTCTCGAAATCTGTATTTAAGGTGTGTTTTTTTCAAGTTTGCTGTTGTACTACTGACTACGTAGGATATGATCTATGAAATATTTATCAATGTAATTTATATATCATAACTTTAGTTATATGTAATCGAGAAAGTCGAGAAATATATACAGATTGCCATAGAGCATTTTGAGTAGCTTGAATAACTAGGCTACCCGTTCTTGCCATCTAGATATTTCAACAAAGTATCAAATTTTGTTTGTTTTAATAAATCATTATGACTATTAATCGCATAACCTGTTCAGGTGCGTTTTTGAAAAATGTACAACCTTTCGTTGTACAAGTTACAAAAGACCCAAGCAGAGATATTGTGGTTGCTGGCAATATGCAGCGAAAAAAATTGTGCATTATTTATTTGTCGATTGACTAGACTGCTAACTTCTCACTGGTGATCACTCAATATTTATCATCAGGATCGTCCAAGAAGAAAGAAACAGAAACCTGTTGAAATACTTTGTTCTGAGAATTCTATATTGTACCAAAAATATAATATTGAATAAAGCTAATAATAATCTAGCCGCTATTAGAATAGCTAGTGTATGCTTTATTACTAAACAGCTTTGTTTTAATTGGTTGCTTGTCTCACTAAATGCAAATCAGTTTCTATGTGAAAATAATCAATTATTAGGTCTCGTGTTTGAAACCCATTCAATTCTCTATTTGGTAAATACGAAACTTGTGGTTTATTGGCTGATTTCATAAATGGTTACTTGTGTGATTGGAGAAGAATTAAGATAGTTCAGAGAAAACATTTTCTCGACGTTTGTTCCTTATGAACTGAACGTGTGCAGAGCTTAGGTGACTTATTGTAAGGAACACTCTCTATAACTTAAATGGACTAACTCTTATGTTTCCTGTTCACATTGAGTCCTAGTGCGAGATTAATAATTTGTTTTTCGATTGAACACATTATTTTCTACTCTGCTTTATTCCCCGTCTATCATTGATATTAATGTTCCATCTTGTATAGTTTTCTTTCAGCAGTATTTTCCAGGGCAAATTACTGTTTATTCTGAAATTGTTTGCTTTTTCATTCGTAGTTTCTCTTTGTAACAGCTTGATAACGATTCTCATACGTAGCTTTATTATCTCTTGTTTTTCTATGCAGACTTTTTGTGGTCGATAAAGTGACTGATTTCATTCTATTTATTGGAAAACTTGTTGTTGTCGGTATTGTTGGTAAGTGATCATATTTAAATTTTACATGAACTTAGTCAAATAATTTATTCGAAATTATCCAGTCAAACCTTAGTAATGATACCTGTCAATCGGATTGGTTCTTTTCTTGAGAATCACATTAATCTGTTTGAGAAAAAATAACTTGATTCTGTTTGACATATTCTGAAAAGGAAGAAATAATTGTCTTTGATATCCTTCGGAAATCAGTTATTGGTTAGTTTGGTTATGAAATACGGATAGTATTTGTGTACATCAGTATGATCATTAATACTTGAATCTGATTTTACCGAATAAGAATTTCACTGTGGTACTAAGCAGTGCTTAAATTGGTTAATAAATCAACCCTGCGATCTGTTGGAATAAATTGTTAGAAACTTAACCAATAATCATACTATACAAATTTTTATTGAAAATAATTGTTGTATTTTTATGGTCAATCTTTATTTCACTCTTCGTGGTGGCCTTGTTTTGTTCACCTGAATGTTTTTCATCGTTAAGTGTAAGTGATTTCTACTGTGACAAATCAAAATTTTGTACTTTCTGTTCTGTGTGTTAGCATGCTGTCAAGTCTCATTTAAGGATTTCTATGTTACATATATCATGCATGAATCTCACACAGTAATTTTCTGTGTCATATTCATTGTCAATTTATAAAATGCTATTTTCGAGACTTCATACCATGGTTTATATCATTCTACAGTAATGGTTACTATCAATTCATAATGTTGCTTAAGATAATTCATTTAATTCATTCATTCCCTAGTGAATATGAAGAATAACACCATTAAAATTGTATGTAGCCATTGCAACTGTCTACATTTGACGTTGTGTTATTAGATATTTTTCCCTGTTGTTTACTATCTGAAAAGGATCATAATTTTTTTGAATTTAGGTGGTGTGGCTTATGTCTATTTGGAAGGTATGTTGTTCAAAGGGAATGAAGCTCTAAATGATGCGTTGCATTCTCATCTTCATTATTCATTCGTGCCATTAGGTGTAAGTTACATTTTATTATTGTACTTATATGTAGCTTCACGTTGTTATTTTAGGTTTACGTTTAAATCTTGCAGGTTTATTTCATCTTTCAGTCGATTCAAGGTTTCTCTTATCATGACGAATGTTTTCATTGTTCTTTTCTTTCATGGGTTCATACATAGCACTGAGTTATTTTGTACTTTTGTTGTGTTATATTGCTTGTTCTAACTTGGGTTTAGAGAATAATTTCATAGTTCCTGTGTACTTGACACTTCGGTGGAGTTTTGTTCTCTGAGCTGGATGGTTTGGTCGTGGAGCTTTCATCGTTATTCTGAACATCAGCATAAACTTCAGGTCGAATTTCTCCACTTGTGGTTCACAGCTTGTCCTGTAAATCTTGATCTTGATTAGTTGTTGTTAACATTTTATCTGTCATTGTTTAATTCTTTATTTTGATTTTATCTCCCATTGATTCGTTTCTTGGTCCTATATTTGTCCATAATTTTTCTGATCGGTTAATAAATTGGATCTATTTCGATGTGTCTGTTGATTGCTAATTGACCTGAGTGCCAAACTTCTAGAAATTCTCTGGTGTTTTTAGAATTACCTCTATCCAAGATCTTAACATTTTCCTAGCCAAATTCGTGTCCACAATTGTCCACATCCATTGATATAAGCGAGGATATGTCATAAGGTTTGAACGATAATTGATGGTGCAGACGAATATGAAGAGGGCGTCCTCTTTGTCCACTAGAATCTTTCACCTGAGCTACAAATCTTCTCCACTTGACACTTCTTAGAGCAAAATAAAACGAATTCATACATGTTCATTAAGTCAATTTAGAGCCTGACATAAATGTGCATTAGCCCACGTTGTCATACCACAATAATACAACTTGAAGAAATTAACAAGATTACTAGTAAGATCGTTAAGACATTAAAAGCATCTATGAAACTGAAACAGGCTAAACATGTAAAAATTTAGTTCGGAAAGAAGAGATGAAGTAATATTTTACCTCACTACTTAAGGGAAGATAACGCGTGAATAGAACTGCGCCAGTATGAGAAGACATGTCATGTAATCGTAAAATAAAAATACTTTTAATTAGTATTTTGACTAAAAATAGATTGTTCAAAATCGTTTAGGGGAAGTTACAAAATACTTTCTAGCATATTCTTTAATTTATGATAAATTATTGCTTTTTGCTCCAAGAAGTTATAATACATTATAGGGAAATTATTTTGTAGCTTGCGTAATATACACTATTTATCTTGATATATTATTTAATTTATTTCATTTAATTTGCTGTAAAACTTGTTCCATATTCTTTTTGTTGTATATTTTTAGATTATCATACTTTCCTCTTACCTTGTGGCGTCATTATTTTCAAGTGTTTTTGAAATGGGTGTTGATACAATATTTCTTTGCTTTTGTAAGTACCTAATAACATTATTATATTCTTAATTATCGTTCAATCTGTTTGGTTGTTTCTTGTTACATGATTTCCTAGTTCATCAAAGTAATTATTTAGTTTGACATTAAAGAGTAAAATAGGTGAGAATATTTCTCCTTTCGTTAATTTCGGGATTTCCATCTTCGGTTGTTCAAAAAAAAACCTTGACATTTGTCGATGTGAATTAGTTTTTGTGCAGTCGAGTTCACTGTCTTCTTGTATATCATAATATATCCACAATAATATCAACTATTTAGTATCATGTTATCTTTCCAAATTACGTTGCAAATATTCGTATATAAGCCCCTCTCAGTCAGTCAGTTACAACGTAGAACTTCGTACGTACGTACATCAGTTCGAGTTGCCATACCACATTAGCACAGAGATGAAGTTGTCGATTCAAATCCCATATTGGTAAAAGTAGTAAGAGTATAAGTATTATGTGGAAGATAAGGGATTGAAGATGTTATTGAAGGAGTATAATATGGTTAAATAAATTTGGAAAGAGAAAAAGGATACGGACATGAAGAATTCGGAAGATTAGAATTTGGTAGAACACAAGGAGTGTATGCACCTTCGCCATTGCAAACGATTTTCAGCCATGTCATTCAAGGTCTCTAACCATCGGTTGCTATCATCTCGCGAATCCCAACCTGATAGTCTACACCTACCAGCATGGCTCAGTCCACCTGTCAGCGACTTCATGGATTTGTGCTATGTTTTGGTCTGGCCACACCTAGCTTTCTTCCAACCTACTCCTACACCATGAAACATTGCACGTCGGGGCAGTCGGTGGTCGGGCATACGTAACACATGTCCCAGCCATCTCAACTGATGAAGTTTCACTACTTCATCAATCGATTTGCCATCCTTACCTAGTACCTGTTTCCTAACAACTGCATTACTTACTCGGTGGTCCCAGGATATACGAGCAATAATTTGAAGACACCTATGGTCGAATACTAGTAGCCTACGAATATCCTCTACTCTTATTGGCCATGTTTCACTGCCATAAAGTAGGACGGAGCGAACTGCTGCACAGTAAACCCGTCCTTTGGTTGCTAAACGGATATCTCGCCTACGCCATAAATGAAGCAAGTTGACGAAAGCTAGACGAGCCTTCTGTATCCGTGCTGAGATTTCGTCACACACCAGACCACAAGGGCTGATGAGACTCCCAGGATAAGTGAAGCAGTCAGCACGCTCAACTACTTCACTCCCTATCATTAGTTCAGATGTCGATGCAACCCAATCCTGAAGTAGCATTTCGCATTTCGAGGGAGAGAATCGCATCCCGAACATGCCTGCATAGTTGCTTATAGTAGTCAGAAGACTCTGCATGTTGTCAGCGTCTTCACCGAGTAAAACCATGTCGTCGGCGTATTCTAAGTCAACAAGTGAATCTCCCGGTAGAAGTTCAACTCCAGGAGATTGAGATGATGAAAGTGATATCTCTAAAAGCATGTCAACGACAAAGTTAAACAAGAATGGCGAGAGTGGACAGCCCTGACGAACACCACTTTAAGTAATCAATCCTGATGGCAGTTCGCCATAGGCTCTAACTCGACCAGTTGTGTTCGAGTAGAGAGCCTTTATGAGGTTAATGTACTTCTTTGGTACTCCTTTCACTGACAAACAATGCCGCAGAACCTCACGATCAACGGAGTCAAATGCCGCCTTAAGGTCAAGAAATACTACTATTGTGGGACGTCTGAATGTGTGTCTATGTTCTAGGACCTGACGTAGTGTGAATATCTGGTCTATGCAACCACGTCCAGGTTGGAAACCAGCTTGGTTTTCTCTAGTCTGCTCTTCACGAGCTTTGGTTAGGCTTCAAGGTATTATTGAAGCTAATATTTTAGACACTATATTAGTCAAACTGATCCCTCTGTGATTGTCACAGGAGGACTTTTGTCCTTTCTTATAGACTGGCACAATCAGTGATTGGGACCAGTCAGATGGAATTACGTCCAGTTCTCAGATTCTACCTAAGACCTCAGTCAATCTCGTTGCTAGTACTGGACCACCATCCTAAAAAATCTCAGGGGTAAACATATCAGGGCCTGCTGCTCTCCCTCGCTTCAGGTTTCCTATAGCTTTTTCAACCTCGTAGAGAGTTGGAGGACTTACCTCAATTTGCCATTCAGGAAGACTGGGGATCGTGGGTAACTGAAGTGTGGCTGAAGGCCAGTTGAACTGATCCCTAAAGTGTTCTGCCCATCGATCCAATCTCCTGGATTGAGAGTGAATAATATGTCCATCTTCTTCTGAGATAGTTTCGCTAATAGTTGGGTTTCTAATACCGGTTCCTTTAACAAGTCTGAATACTTGTCTGCTGTCACCTATCGCCGCTGCCTTTTCCATCTTTCTTGCTTTTGCTACCCACCACTGTTCACGATCATTGCGTAGGCTTCTTATTAGCCTTCGCTTAAGCTGACTCCGCTCTTCGTTATGTTCAGAGCCATATGGGATGAGTTTTCGAGCATCTATCAGTGCGGTAGATGCTACTGAGATCCATTGTTTCTCTCTGACCTTATGGCTTACCTTATTAGCGGATATCACTGCTGTTGCCACAGCTTTACGAATGTCATTTCACGTTGATTCGGAGTGAGCCCAACTTACATGGCTGGCTAACTGTTTTTCTAGTTGTTCCTGAAATACATTCTTAGCTTGGCTGTCATTAAGTAGAACCCTGAGAGGTTTCCTTTCAGCGTCTTTCCTACGTCCAGTAGGACGCAGACAGATACGTGCTTGCACTAGAGCATGATTTGAGTCTAAACATGTGCTCCGGAATGAGCATCAGTCTTCCATCGAGCCCCTCCATCGGTGGCTGATAGCGATGTGTTCTAATTGGTTCCAACGTTGGGACGAACTCGGGGGTCGCCATGTCAAAAGATGTTTTTCCTTGTGCTTAAAGTTAGTATTTGAAAGAAATAGGCGGTTATCTGAGCACAGCTGTAACGGACGGTCGTCATTATCTGTTCTTTGAGTCATGACACTATCAGATCCACCCAGGTGTCTTTCCCTTTCACTTAGTTTATCTACTTGAGCATTAAAGTCACCAGCTACTAATGGTACATCAGAACGCCTAGCTTTTCGGAAAAGGTCAGAAAGTTTTTTCCTGTAAAACTCATCTTTTATATCGTTTGAACTACAGTCAGTGGGAGAGTAGTCAGAGACGACGAAGAGGCATCGACAAGTTTCCCTATCTTTCCGAGTCCTTACTGATCCGTTTAGTCGGACAGCGCATAGACGACTGTCTACTGGGATCCAGTCTAAAAGAGCTAGTTCTGCCCTAGGACTTGATGCTACACCTACTCCAGCGAGGTCACGGGAAGCAGCATCATGGCTTCCAGATACACGAAGCGTGTATCGAGATGAAACTTTATTTTGATTAGGTGCGGTCAAATGAATGACACTACTCGTATCTTGTATGCGCGTTTCGGAGACGCAGCACACACCTATGGTGTAAGATTCTAGAGTCCTAGCTAAGGAATCCTGTTGTCCTATTTGGCACAATGTTCGGACATTAAAAGTTCCTATATGTAGTTTAGAGCGTGGTTTCAGGAGACCAGGAATAACGTTCGGTGTACTTGAATCGTTTGCCCTAGCGGTGCGAGGTGATAAAAGGACGTGGGAAGGGTTATTCATGGAGATAACAGAGTTATTAGGTGTAGGAAGGATTTGAAAGCGACCAACTTGGTCTCGTGTGCAGTTAAGGGTATGAGGACTAGTATCACTTCCCGGCTGCCCACACCGTGGAAGGGTATTTCTTGAGGGACCTGAAAAAGAAGTTGGATTAGTGTTGGTCTTAACGACCTGGGAGTGTGACCGCAGTGCCCAAGGGACAACTGCTTGAGGTCGGTCACGCACGGCCTTTTTGTGGGGGATTTTTGACGTGTTAGCTCCGTTCTTCAAAAGTCCTTACCGCCGGAGACGGAAATCCGTGGGATAAGGCGAGGTGTGCATTTTTAGGGTCGACCTTTTCTAACCCCATTCCTCCTTGTGGGAAGGCAGCATCGCTGTTATTCTGGTTGTCTGAAGGAAACACCTTACTGCCGCCACACCTCTGTACAGTCAGCAGTACGACTTCGCCTTCGGACCTTGGGATTGCTGCATTTAGTCTTACCGCTCTTCAACCGACCTGTCTGGCATGGTAGGACCTCGAGGAACGATTGTTCCAGCCAGTATAGCTCGATTGGTTCATCACGATAGGAGAGCCCGACCACCACGTCAAGGTAGCAGCAACGGTCGGGATAAGCCCCTCTAACCCAATACTTCCGTATAGTGACGCCACAACTACCCTATTAAAGCGTAATATTTTCGCATATTATTTTGAATTTTTGACAATTTACGGTTTCTTAGACAAGTTGGTAAATAGTCATTACTTATTGAATTCCGTCAAAATATTACAACTTCAATCTAGCTGGTGTGTTATTCATAAAGCTAAACAGATAACATAAAGTTACCATTTTCATTAATAAATAATTTTGTTAGTAATACATTTTCCCAATATTATTTCCTTGTTACTATTCAGTGGGACATATCGAAAGCAATGAAAGACTTGCTGAAAGTCCGTGCTATATGAGTATTTATTATAATTCTTCATTTTTGTAACCGATTTCGGTATTGTACTTAATCTCTCGATAAATTTAAACAAAGGTGATACAATGCGATCCACAGGATAAATTGAATTCATTCTAGTTCGATGCTTCTCATCAGACGCGAAGGGCCCCAATTTACAAAGTGTTGACATACATTAGTTAGTTTATGTGAAGTAAACTAAAGTATGTAAACACTGTTTATTATCATACTACTACTTGTAGTATTAAACTGTTTGTAACTGATGAGAAGCCTTCAGATAGAACTAATTCATTTTATTCTCCAAGTCTCGTTGTTATTCTGTTCAAAAATTCCAGTCTGTTTAGTGGCTCTTTATGTCACATAGTTCCTTAGATCACATCCCAATCATCATGTAACTGTTTTGTTCTATCTAGGCTTGGCTGAATGTATCGACCAGATATGTAGTACCCTGAAATTCAGGAACACAGGTGTTTCTACTGACTTTAAGGGGGATTGGGTTCTTTCTGTTTTGGGATTTTTCAGTTGTTTTTGTCATTTCTAGATAAAACAAATAATTCGTCACCATGATGAAAGCCTTCTAGTCGGATGTGCATAGTCAAGTCTCACTTTTTGGGAACTATCATCCATAGTGGCTGTTGGATTTTCTTCCTAACTCTCGTTGGTATGTTGTTCAGGACTTCTCTCTTTGGTATGCAGTACTCAAAGCACGTAATCCTGTATCTACAAGATTCGGTTAAATTGTAGTATTTGGAATTCTACTATGCTTTGTAAATCACTTCTCATCCTTCAGAAAGAAATGTTTTATCAAACTAACTTTTGTAATACGTAAATAATATATTTGTAATATACCGATGAGTGGGAAAATTAGATTTTCTGACATTTCATGACCCAGTGTAAGCCACTTCTTCAGAGAATAAATAATCAAATTAAAATTAATCCAAGTCTAAATAGTACAACGGAACAACACGAATATTATAATATATTTATTTATAACAATCTACCCAATGCTCAATTCATTCAAAATTATCAAATCAAAACTTGGCAATGATAGCTAATAACTTGTGTAATTATCTAGTTCGATCATTAGATGCAAAGTAGTTGGATATATTTGTCATTCGATAATCTTGGGATTATCATCTTTGATAAGATGATTGTTGACAAAAAGTTTGTTTAACATGTTGCGATGTAAACAGATTATTGTGAACTCAAATTTACGACCTATTTATCTGGTGGTAGTATTAAAATCGAAATATAACTGGGGAGGTACTTTTTTAAAAATAGACTGAGGCAAATAATACAAATCTGTTAGTTTCATCAGTAAATATTCATTATTACATTTTCCCAATCTTATTTCATTGTTCCCCTACAGTAGAAGATTTGGAAAAAAATGACGGATCTGCTGAAAGACCATACTATATGAGCAAAAATCTTATGGATATTTTAGGAAAACGAAATGCACGGTCGTAAGGCTCAAATATCGCAATCGAGCATTAAGTGTCTCTGAACAAACTATTTAATATTATTTTCAATGTGCCTTCGTTACGCGCCATAGATTTTTCACTTCTGCACAAAATATTAGTGAAAAAATTCATTTGAAATCAAAATGCACTTTCTGGAATTATAAACAGAAATACAATCATATTTCATTTGCATTTTTTTCTCAAACACCTTGACTGGCTTTATCACAGTTTCTTCAATAATATTCACTCACCGCTTTATTTGTCTAGGTACTAGAATATTGTTTCCTCTTTGTCTTTCTTCCTAATAACTCATATTGTTACGTATTTCGCTTAAAATTTGTTACGCAAGTTTTTCGTTTTTTATCTGAAAATAAATATTTACTTTACTGATCTGATATCTTTTACAATACTGATTGATATGAACAGTTGGGGATCATTGTTATCCTTATAGTGGTCTTTTCAACTACACAAAAACAGTGTTACCTTATCTAAGTGTTCAGTTTTTCTAAACACCTTAAATACTGCACGTCCTTTTATTTCTGTTATAACGATTGGGTGTGTGCGTTCTTGCCCAGTTGATATATATAACCTTATACGACCACCAATTGGGGAGCAGTGAATTTATAAATCGCCCAATGATACACAAAACTGTATGAGCAGTCTTGAGTATTACTCGGTCCTGCTTTCTGCCTAGCCCAACCAGTTAAGTCCAGAACACTAATAACAGCCTCTGCAATATAAATCATTATTCTCAAACATACTGGGTTTATATCCAATCAAACTGACCACATTGTACCATAAAATAGAAAATAACCTTTGTACAAGATTTGACCGAATGTGGTTGTGAATAGGTGGAACAGTAATCAATAGACTGAGGATAACTAAAGAATTGTAAATCGTGTTATAATAGTCTATGGGTCAAAATAAAACTCATAATAAAAGGGACACGAATATGAATAGTTTAGTTACTTAACAACTATACAATAGGAAATATACATATTATATTGGTCCATAGATAGTTCTCAAAGTTACCATTCGTAATTATCCACGGGATACAACAATTTCATAGAAAAAAAAGAAAGTGTTGTGGTTGTAATGTAGCATGGTATAACCTGATAATCGTTGTACTGTAGTCTGTCAAGCTTTTAGAATCGAGCTCATATAATTCGTGTAACCCAAACGTAATAACAAATTCCCCATGAGCGTTTATACACTGAGTAAGTTTAATTGATACAGACTAGCCTCATTTGTAATTAAATCACTTTTCAGAAATAATATCGAAACAACATGAAATAGATTTAATCGTGACTTGTTATTTGAAGAGAAAATTACTCTCTGCTATTAAAACAAGAAGTATGCCTTTAAATAAAGATAGAACAAATATTGATGCAGAATAATATGAATTCATTATATTTCGTGGTTTCTCATCAGCTGCTTACAACCAAATATGCATTAGAGTTTTAGCATTAGGGTAATAAATAGAATGGAACAACTGACATAAGGGAATGTAAAGGATTGGAATAACAAAAGTCATCGATGATAACTATATATATATATATATATATATATATATATATATATATATATATATATATATATATATATATATATGGGCAAGGAAAGGTTGACAAAGGTGCTTGGAACCAATCCGCAAGAAACTAGCACCCTATAGTCTGAAAGATAGTTTTGAATTTGTACAAAAACTTGACAATATAAATGCATCTGATAAACTCATGGTCTCATTTGACGTCACATCGCTTTTCACCAATATACCCTTAGATGAAACGGCCGACATCATAGGTGAATACTCTGAACTTTTACCTTTACCATTTCATGACTTCAAACAGCTTCTGTTTCTGTGTACAAAAAACATACAATTCAAATTCAACAATGTGTTCTACCGTCAAATTGATGGAGTAGCCATGGGTAGCCCTTTGGGTCCTATTCTGGCAGACATATTTATGGGGAACCTCGAACAGAAGAAGCTTAAGCATGCTATCGATAGTACCACACTATACTGCAGATACATGGATGACACCTTTCTTATTTGCGACAATCATAAACACTCCATCAATCTGCTCAATTTATTTAACAAAGCACATAAGGATATAGAATTTACGATGGAACATGAAGACGAAAATAAATTCCATTTCCTAGATATTGGAATTAGACGAACACCAGCGGGTACATTGCAAAGATATGTTCACCACAAAAACACTTGGAGTGGACTGTATCACAATTACTACAGTTTCTGCCCGATGAGTTACAAAAAGGGTATTGTACGAACCCTTTTCGACCGCGCACGCAAAATCTGCTCCAATGAGTGTCTTGAGGAAGAAATAGCTTTAATCATCAAATGCCTACGTGAAAATGCATATCCAGAGAAGTTCATCCACAAATATGCAAACACCAATCGTCGAATAAAGTATGATCGAGTTGAAAAGAAAACATGCTTCCTATACCTACGCTTCAAAGGTGACGAAATCGCTGGAATAATTAACCATAGACTTCATTCCGCGTTGAAAGTGACCTACCCAGCAGCTAAATTGACGACGGTGTGGGAAACAAATTGCTCACTCAAACAAACCAAAATCGATAAGTCCTCTTTTCTCAGTACCTCCAACTGCATTTACCAATTTACATGTACGTACCGAAGCACATACATTGGAAGAACCGAGAGAAGAGTGCATATCCGCATTTCTGAGCATATTCCAAAGAAACTGAGTTTGCAAGGGTCCAAGGCTCTCAACAGTGCGATAGCTCGGCATTTACTCGACACCGGGCACAGCATCGACATTTCTAATGCCTTTAAAATCATTAGTAAACAAAGAAGTACAACTGCTCTCCGGTTTGCTGAGGCGATCGCGATAAAAAAACTCAAACCGGACCTATGTATTCAAAAAGAGACAGTGATAAACTTATTACTACCTTGGTAACCCATTTTTGTTTTGTTTCAGTTTTTTTTTTATTAGTTCAATTTTGGTTAATATTCTGTTGTTTTTTTTATACCCAATTCTTAAACCACCCTTTCTCTCACACATTTCCGCTCATTTGTCACTCCTAATTATATGAACTATCCAAATCTTATTCAATTATTACGTAACCCACCCTAATTGTTTTCAACTACGTCTATAAATTATTCAATCATTACGTAATCCCACCCTAATTGTTTTTCAACTACGTCTATAAATTATTCAATCATTACGTAATCCCACCCTAATTGTTTTCAACTACCTCTAACATAATCACATTTTGATTTTATCTGTCTCTGAACTCCACTCAACTATTATGCTACCCTTTATTCTAATACCTAATAACCTCTGACCTTTCCTTGCCCATATATATATATATATATATATATATATATATATATATATATATATATATATATAGTTATCATCGATGACTTTTGTTATTCCAATCCTTTACATTCCCTTATGTCAGTTGTTCCATTCTATTTATTACCCTAATGCTAAAACTCTAATGCATATTTGGTTGTAAGCAGCTGATGAGAAACCACGAAATATAATGAATTCATATTATTCTGCATCAATATTTGTTCTATCTTTATTTAAATTCATAAAGGGAACTAACTGCATGAAAGTATGCCTTTTTCGAGACTACAAATCTTTAAGTTGTCAGTCAAATTTAATGCATCCGTGTTTTATGATATTTTGTATGTTGAATGTTGTGAGAACCCAAAATGGTTATACAACTTTTGTGAAGACTATCTCATCATTATTGTATGATAATACTTAAATCTTATTACGTAAATATATCACTGCATTTTAATGAAAATACAATGTATTTCACTGAACGTATATAACAACTAAGTAACTTGCTATAAGTACCTATATCTAACATAAGTCCAGAAAAGTATAATATCCAGTTTTATTCTACAGTATTGTAAGTGGATTAAATTTACGCGCTGATGAACGATTAAAGTTCTGCAAAAAATTAACGTTCAAATGCTTCGGATTCATATTTATAATCGACAATTTTAGCTTACTTACAAGTAGTATAAAATGGGTAAAAGCATTTTATACCCTACCTTGCTTTTCAAAAGACCTTTGATAAATATACAATCTTAGGTAAAATAGCTAAATCCTCGTCATAACACACTGTTCAATGTTAAATAAGATATATTATGGTGAATTTTTCTAGGTAGGGAATAATAGAGAAAACCACACCGTTTTCTCGATACGTCCGTGTAGTTATCTGCAATTATGATAGTAGCTTTTTCTAGTAGTTACTATTATCATTATTATTTGTAATATACAGGTAAAAGTTTTTATTTCAAAGTCACAAATTAAAAATACATATCTGTATTTGAATGTTATATCATTCATTTTGTTAACCATTTACTTTTAGCTATCTTACGTATGTAATTTTATCATTTTCTTATTTTGGCTTCCTTCTGATTTAAGCTCAGTCAATTGTTTTTATTGTACCTAACTGCTTTCATCTTCTAAGTGAATGCTGTTATGATGTATTTTTATTCTTACGTAACTGCTGGATGTACTGCTAATTTTTGTAGAATTTAAACAAATTGTGTTTTAAGAATTCTCGATGATCACAGGTATCTTGATGTTCACCTGTACTCAAAATATATATTATATAGATAATGTGTTAGATTCATTTGTTTTATTGAGGGGATATGTTTTAATCTACTCAGTTGCATGGATCGCTGATATAAATTATTCTTATTGTTTTGTAATTGTTTTTTGAAGCAATTAAGCTGTCTTAAATTACACACAAAAGTGTTCGGATTTCGTTGTGTGCTATATTTACAAATTATATATGCTTGTCGAATATAAAGAACTGTTTAGTATATGGGGGTGAACTGTGGTAAACACGCCCTTGTATACTATATTTTCGTCTGACCTTAAATGTGTCATTCCAATCTGATCACACTCTTTATGACCTTGTATGCAAATACATTTCCTTACATATGTCATCATGGGTATATAAAACGTACTGCTATATGTGTCTGTATCTTTACTTACTTCAACATATATTTTGGACTATCGAAATGGGTATCTTAAACGCTCTCTGTATGTTAGAAATGCCTTCACGGTCTCCACCTATCTCTTCTTGCTCTGTTGCCTTATGAAAGCGCTAGATACACTTTTTAAAACCACTAGCCCCTTCTCACTTTTTTTGTACGTCTTAGCATAGGACAATAGGGCGTAACGGATCGGATATACCAGTTAAATATTGTTGTGAATCAAGACACCTGCAGAAACATTAATTCAAATGACTTCATGACATTTGCACAAATAATTATGATTTTGAGTAGAATTATAGAAACTTCGGTTAAAATTCATTGATGAATACTTTTTATCACTTAGTATTGTTTCAAAAGTACAAGAATTATTTCTTTTCAATC